ATGGAGTTTGTAATAATAACGAAGGTCATTTGACCAAAAAGGAGATGTATTTTTTCTGCTTGGTTATTTTCGTAGAGATTTTTGAAAGATCTACTTAAAAGTGCTGGGAAGTGTTTTCTAAGACTGAATATGTACTGAGAAAATAAAATACAGAACAGAATAATATTTGCATAATTCTACATTTCATGCCTTATCAATTTGACTCATCAAAATGATAAGGCATGCATCCCATTTGTGGAATCCACATTTAAAGCCTGGCAACTATAAACTATGTACCATAAATTTATATTGTATTTTTTTTCCCCTAAAAATTGCTACGTAAATGTTTGTGGAATTTTTATATTTAACAATGTGTAGGAACCTTGTCTGCCATTTGTTTAAATTGTATTTTTCTCCAAACTGATTCACTTTCAAAGTACAAAACCAGTCTCGTGCAATTAAGTGTCAAATGTTATGTTCCAAGAGCTTAAACTAAATGTACTGCATTAGGGATTGCCAAAGAAAAGTAAATTTGGTTATGTCTCCTATGTAACACCCTCATACATGCTAGTACTTACATTTTTTTCCTGTAGTGTATTTGCAACTGTGAAAAATGTGTTAATTTATGTAGAAAAAAAAGGACTTATATTAGATTGAACTGAGAATTGAATGTTTCCCTCAAACTGGAGCTACTTTTTCTCATTTAATCAGTTTCACAGTTCCACCCTCATTCTAGCCTTGTACTTCCATCATGAATATTCATTGTTGTAAACACGGTTGTTATGAATAATGTAACACCCGCTGTAATAAATTCAGGACATGCCATTTCAGAGCACTGAGAGGGCCTCCATGCAGGCTCCTGTTAGACAGGCTGCTGATTTTTTCCTATGGTGGAAGCAACATTTTAGATAATAATAAGAGTCTTGTGGTGCCCTAGGACCTCTCATGTTTCTGGGGAATTAAAACAACAACAAAAAAAAAATCCACTCTGACTTTACAATGACATGCAAAACTTGTTAAATATATTCCAATTAGCAGGGAGAAATGTTTTTTGCAATACCAGAGCAAAAAATAAGCAAGCTTAGGTAAGCATTTAATAGCATTAAAAGTCTAGATGGAGATGAAAAGTAAAGGTGACAGCGTGTTTACGATGTAGCAACAAGAGATAATCTTTAATAAGGCTTTCAGGAATAGCAGGGAAAGGCAAGTTGTTGCATGTTGCAGGCAATAACCGTCACATTGCTCCTAACGGAAACATGCCTCAGACATAATTAAGATCTGTAGTAAACTGCTGATATTTTATTGTAGCTTGTTTTCGCTATAAACAGTGAGAAGTGGAAATGGAGGTCTTGCATAGGAAAACGTGCAGATTAGTAAGAATGTTGTTGCTTTCTTGAGCTTCCTTTGACTTGCTACAGAGCAGAAGGTTCAGAACGAAGAGTAACCACCTGAATATCCAGGAGTTAATATAAATGTCATGTCCCTCATCAGTGACGTTCATGTGAATTTAAACTGTAACAGCGAGTCATGCGGCTAACCTCTGTTGCATGTGCTTAATGGAGGCCTTGTCCTCAGAAATGTACTTTAATTTGCTCGGATTGTATTTTCCTCCTAGTCTACCGAAAGTTGCTTAATGACCACCCAGGAGAGAAACCACGGTAGCTAACAGAGGTGACAGACCTATTACTGTTCATCAAATTACTCGGCATGCTGTATGTAGTTTTGCTCATTTGTGGACTCGGTCCAGCTGCAGTTTCTTGTCTTTGTGGTGTGGTTTATTACCCTCCAGTCTGAATCTGCTTGGAATATTCATAAAAATGCTGCAGTTAGCTGGGAAGTTGTTGTGTTTTTAGGTTAATGGCCCCAAACGCTCAGATAAATTGTCTTGCGCGTACATGCAGACCAATAAAAACAAATCAGAATGGTGCTCAGATTGACCTAAATGTACAGTGTGCCCGTATAATCTCAGCTAACCCTGAAAAACAAAGGTGCTAGTACAGAATGAGGATGCGCTAATTAACTTTTTGCTCAGTCTCGTGTCGAATCTCTCAGCTCACATTAATGTCCCTGCAGAATTCAGCCAGCCTTCCCGTATTACAACGCTAATGAGATAACGGTTTAAAATTCTCTGCGCAGGATATTTGTATAATGCATTGTTCCACTTTGAGGTTTTGCAAACCATTCAACCAAGGGGCTGTGTATGTGTAGCGCTGCCGATAACCAAGTTTGCATTCACTTCTCCTCTGCTTCTCATTTGGTTGCTTGAGGACATGAAGAGTCGTTTCTCAGCCTCCCCAGGTTTACCTTGTTCAGGCAACATCTTCAAAATCTTTTGATTACAGTTGGCATGAAACATGGAAATGCTCATCTTTGAACAAACGGCTGACAAGTGTGAACATGTCAATACATTTAAACATGCTTCATTTATTTAAATTGTTTAAATACTTATGTCTTGAAGGGAATAAGACTGATAAATAGTGTGAAGGGTATATTGAGTATCAGAGGTGTTTTGACAATTATTAGGCAGTCATCTAGAATGTGCCAGCAGAGTTCAAGTCGTCGATAAAAGGTGAGCCAAGTTATTTTCAGATTCAAACTAGGGCAGGAAAACATGCAATTAAGATAGTATTGCCAAACACTACTGTGATAGTACTTATTTATGACGATTCAATGATTATTTTCACCACCACTTTTTGTGAAATTCATCATCTCTGCCACTAAAAATATGCACAAGGTGTGAAAATCAACAGCACAAAAAAGTGTATCAAGTATACTATTGGCATTCATCATTTACAGCCATGTCACAGGATTATGACTGACATATATCAGTCATAATGTTTTATCAAAATTGTTCTTTCTGATATTGCAGATATTGATATTGCTGCAATAATAATTATGATTCCATATATTGTGCCACTCTAATTGACTCCAAGATCTGAGGGAATTTTGAAGATGTATTTGCCAAGTTCTTCGTGGAAAAAACATAGTTGATTCTGAAATTAAAGATACGAGTTTTTTTTCTTGACAGATTTTAGCTGATTTTCATTTCTCTTTCACAACAATAAATGAAAATCAAATAAGTTGTTATTTCCCTCCTGGTTAGAGTAGAAATGTAACTGAACAATGCTTTTGTAGTAGAGGAAGAATTTTTTTTTAACCACTGAAGCTGTCTTTACATCATAGACAATACAAATACAGAAAAATCCTTGGGATTATGTTGGAAAAATAATTGTTAGGGTCATTTACAAATGAACAAAAGCATTGTCTGGGATAATGTGTGATTGGGGAAACCTCATGTACTTTTGGTGGATTGTTACATTTTAAATCTTTCATTCATTCACCATTAAGAAGTCCTGTGAAGCATGTTTCACTGATTCATATTAAGTCCAGAAGCAATGTCACCCCATCTGTAAGTGAGAGAGTGCAGTTGGTGCCTCATAATTATTTAAAACTATAATTATGATGTTTCTATAATCATCATAATTATAGTGATGTTTCTATAATATAAGAAATATTCCAGCACAACATTTTCAGAGGTGATGCTTCAAGCAGCTTTTAGCAACCTGTAGTAGCATTCAGCATAACTGGTGTGATTACCATGTTTAACAATAGTCATGCTAACACCAGTTCCCTGTAGGGTCGCCATAACCTTTCCAGAAAGACTGCCAACAAATATTTGAACTCTTAAAAATGTTCAAACAAAGCTACTGCTGTGTTCAGGGTTGGTTAATGGCTGATGCCTCACCCTGTTTAAAGGTAGCGGTCAGGACAAACAGCAGACTTTCTTCATTATTTTATTGGTTTTGAGAATCTTCTTTACAGCTTTCGTCTGGCTTCATTTTGAAACATCACATTAACTTTAAAATTAGGGATGCACCGATGCACTTTTTTTGCTTCCGATACCGATATCTTGTGGTTTATTATCGGCAGATACCGATCCGATACAGAAAAACTGTGATGAATAGACTTAAAACATTCATTTTTTAAAAACTTCAAATGTTCTGAAGTAAGAATTTATTTGATCATTTTGTACCAGTACAACAGACTTAAATACAAAAGCAACCGCAAACGCTTGGTGAAACATGTGAAAACAACATAACTTTAATTTGTTCAGTCAGTGCAATTAGGAGAATAACAGCTAATGTAAAATAATAAATAACAATAGAAACATATAAAAAAAATCTTACTGCACTTTCTGAACAATTTGACAGAACATTTGTCTGATTAGGAATTATAAAGATAATGTAAAATAAATATTAAGCCAGGAAGTTGCTCAGAGCCCAAAGAATAGAATTAGACTGAATAGAACTGCCCTCAAGGATTGTCACTGATACATGAGCTAGACTTTTTTTTTTTAAATATTGGAATTGTTTTGTGAAATTTTAAGCAGGATCGGGGGTGATCGGTGATAAATAATGACAACACGCTGTTCTGCTAGAATAAATGTGTCCTTTTATTCCGCCACAGATGACAGCAAAATCATTCACACAACAAACAATGCGTAATGCTTAGATTCTTTCAATCCGCTCTTACCGTGACACAGTGAGCTGGAGAGCCGACAGTTCGGGGAAGAGCTGCAGCAACATGTAATTGGGCGTCCGTATGTAACCCACAGCAGAGACTCTACTCTTGACTCTACTGAACAATGGGACTTTTCTGCTTTTTATACTCATTACCAAAACAACCTCCAATGAAAGAAGGGAATGGCCATTTCCCCTCTCCCAGACGGGTTAGCCAATCAGAATGCTACTTCCCTGCCCACGACTCGACCATGAGCTCCTGTATGTTAATTGATCGTGATCAATTAACATACAGTACTCAGTCTCCGGTTGTCCATGGGCTCCAGAGGTGACGACCATGAGCTCATTCCATGATTCAATCAACATGCAGCACTCAACTTCTTAAAATGTATTGAAAATGTATAAAATGAGCATGAAATGTACAATTAATCAAAGAACATAGAAAATTCTCATATCAGGAACCAATACAGATATTGATATCGAATTAGTGCATCTCTCTTTAAAATAGCCAACTTTGAGTCATGTTCCATCAGTAACCACTTCTATACTGAAGAGTGTTTCTTGAGTATAAGGGGTTAGTATTTCTGTACTGTTCAGTGATTGTTAAAAAGGTCGGGTATTTATTTTCTGGCTGGGCAGTAAGTGATGAGGGCCAGCTTATTTCTCAGTTCATCTGTAATTTTATCTACTTGGTTGAAAGGGAAATATTTTTTTCCAGCATGCATGTAGAGAGAAATGAGGAAGAAAACATGTTCGTTAGTATTTACTGTGGTGCTGGCACAGTTATCAGCGTTGGTCAGCTGTGATTTGGTCAGGCAGTGGTTGGTACGTACAGAGGTTGATTAGGCCTTTAGCCAGGAGCAGTTGCTGTGGATTTAGTCGGTAAGCCCCTTCCCCAGAAGACCCAAATCCAGCCTCGCATTCCTCTCTGATTGGCTGGACACCTGTGCGGCTCCATAACCGGGTCGCTTCTCTGCCGCATTAACTCTCAGCACATGCTTCGAGTGAATTTTAAAAGGGGGTGGGGGGACCAAAACGAAACACTAATGGAATGTAAAGCTAATCTAAATATGTTAATCCCCAAACACTTCATAAACATGGACGCCAGCGGCCCACCACCCACTTTCTGAAGTCATTCGCTTTGGAATGTTTTCGCCGCGGGGGTTCTCACAGTAATGACAAGCTGCCGGTGGATTAATGTGGAGTTATTTATTTCCGATTGAGCGAGTCCAACACCCTCCACCCCCTCTGCCCTTCCCCTCCCCCACACAAAACCCAAACCTCCCCCTCTCTCCCTCTTTAGCAGTTCGGCCCAGTCTCCAGTCGCAGACGCTCCATCGAAGCAGTTCACCCAGCTAACACTGCAAACCCTCTGCTGTCAGGTCTCACGTTGCATTCTGGGATGTCTGCAGCCCCTTTACCTGCTCTTAGCTAATTACTTTTTAGGCCGACGCTCAAACAATAATTGGTCTTGTGCTGCTTCCTCCCCTCCTTCTGCTGTGCAGAGTGCTAGTTTGAGCACTTTTTTCCCTCTCTCTCTCTCCGCTGTCCTTATTCCCCTGTTTTTTATCGTCCTCCAAAAGCCATCCAATTAATATGCTAATGAGCTGATAAATATTTATAGGCGTTTTAAATTATGCAGAGAGCTTTCAGAGCCCGGTGTGAAATGCGTTGCTCGCAGGACTTCAAAGCCTTGCATCACTAACGAGGCAGGAGTAGATTTGCATACGGCTTTAATCAGCTGAATACTGATTATGCTTCATTATAGAGTTGGATGGAGGGAAGAAAAGGTGGAGGGGGGGTCGGTGTTGAAGGAGGCCGCCAGCTGCACTTGTCGTTTGTTTCATTCCAGCAAGAGAGAGATAGAAAGAGTGAGAGAGAAAGAGAGGGAGAGAGAAGTTTTTCAGAAGTAGAGGCAATGTTGGCAGCTGAGAGAGGGAGTGCTAGAAAAAAAGGGGGCAGAGCTGTAAGAAAAGAAAAGAGGGGAGCAAGGAGAGCTGTTTGGCTAGACCCTGTTGGCTTTCCCAGTGTGCGTTTCCCAGTGTTGCTCAGCAGACCGTGTGGTAGAGACCGCCACTGTGTCCCTGTGTCTCTGTGTGCTCGCTGCTGACCAGTGGAGAGTGAAAACAAGAGAGAAGGGAGGCAGGAGGCGGGGGACGGAGGGGGAGGCGTGGGAGGAAGGAGTGCGTTCTGGACATCCTGTCGGTGGGGTTGCCCGGTCGGTCGGGTTGTTCTCGACAGGTCCAGCAAGCATGCAGGAAAGCACAGGTGGAGCAAAAGCGGGTGAGTTTTTTTTTTTTTTTTTAGAAGACTGAGCGAGTTCGGCTGGGTTTTATTGTTTGTTCAAAGGCTAATCTGGAATATCGACATGCAAATGTAACAGGTTTTATCCTACGTGGTTGTAGCATCTTGCTTTTTTTTAAATTTGGAGTTTTCTGTAGCTTTCATCAGTGAGAATGAATGAGGACTTGAAGAGCAGGAGTAATATTTTAGCACCAGTTGAAATGAGATTATCTCATGATGTGTCTGTCTGGTTCTTTCAGATGCTAAAGTGAATAATCAGTCAGAAACTTCTAAATGTGAAATGGAAAGTGGTGACGAGAACACCGGTCAGTATCGATCAGCCTATTTCTTTTTTTTTCTTTCAGTTTTTTATTTTTTTGCATGGTGAAGATCTTGAATTTTTGGAGTTTTATCTCCTCATTCAACAGGTTTCAGAATAAGATCCGAATTTATTTTTAAAATGTTGGCAACACAAAACCATCCTGTTAATCTTTGTAAACCCATTTGATCAGCTTTCCAAAGTGACCAGAATTTTTTTTGTTTGTTTTATTTTGTTTCAACGCTTTAGTGACATTTTGCTGCAACTACGTTGCCTTACGTTGAATACCGAAGATAAACATTTGCATTCTTCTTGATATATGCTTTGAGTTCCTGCGTAAGCTCCAAATGTAAACTTCATTTATCAGTAACATGCAGCTGTTTTCATATGCATTTAAAGAAACCTTTCCTCCCACCTGCAGATATGTTCAGTGTTCCTCTTTTTGTTTTTTTCCTTTCTCGGTTGAACCACTGTTACAAACATGTCTGTGTTTCTGTCTCTAGGAGTCCAAACCAATGGACTGGACTTTCAGCGGCAGACGGTGCCGACCACAATCTCTAACGCACATGCACAAGCCCTCTTCCAACAGGTAGCACATCACACATGCCTGCATGAGCTGCAGCATTCACTTTTGCCTTTCAAAAATGTCTTGTTTTAATGCAAGGAGGAGCCGTGTTACAGGAGGTGTTTTTATGCAGCGGAACTGCGGTTTTAAATATTCATAAAAGTAGTTGCTTAAAAAAAAAAAACAGATGCAATTCTCGGAGAGTCATGCTCATCAGCATGACAACATTTGCAAGCAAGGAGTTCATTTAAATGAGCCAGGCTCTCGCAGTGTCGCCTGGCAACAAGGCAGATTAATCAACCCCGTATGCTAATTAAGCTGCTCTGCGGTTGCTCGGAAACAGATGGCAGAGAATATGCAAATCTATGCAGAATTTACATGCGCTGCATAACAGTTATTTTAATTAGCATCTCTGCTCTTCCCCTCCCTTCACTTCACTTCCTCCTGTCTCCGAAGGCTGCGACACATTTAAAATGCCCACTTTTATTGCTGCCTTTTTAAAAAAAATTGAAATTCTTCTCACTGCTTAAAGACAAAGCGTGCAGTCTGACCGAGCCACTCAGGTAGCAGAGAAATTAGATTTTTATCATGTTCTTGTTTAGCACGCTGCTTTGTTTCTTGATCTGATTTGCTTTAATTAGAAAAACATCAGTGTCTTGTTCCTATATTTTATGATTATGACTTAAAAGGACGTAAAAGTAAGTTTGGCTCTCCGCTTCACTTCTGCCAGTCGAAGTCGGAAGACTCGTCCGCTCTTCCTGCCTCCGTCCAGCAGAGCGTGTTGCCTCAGACCCAGCTAATGTTGGCAGGGGGACAGATTGCTGGAGTAAGTGGCCCCCCACCCTCCGCTGTGCTCGGTCACAACCTCGTCGTTACGTGCATCCTGCAGTGATCACCTCTCAATATGATCAATCCTGCTGGAGAAACATAGCTGATTAAATGTTAGCTGGATAAGTTTGAGCCTCCTCTGCCTGTCTGCCTGCTCATCTCTGTGGCTGTCAGTTTATGTTCAAACGTCTCCATAACTGAAAGTGTAAGACGAGCATTCGAGGCATTTCATTTCCATGTTTTTTCCTGAGAGGACCTGACGGCTGCTGCTGTGCGATGCGGGAGTGAATGTTTACTGTGCATGTGGATCTGTGTTTGAACATCGACGTCAACATGCTCATTCGCACTTTTGCCTGGCGCAGCTGCATGAGTCCTTTTCTCTGTTTTCCTGCGATGACTCATATTTGTGCTTACAAAACAGCCTAAGCTTTTGTTTATCTTTTTGTAAAGTCACATTCTGCAAGGACATTTACAAAAATACTTGCAGTTTACAAAATTCCGTGACTTGCAAAGGTATTCACACTGCCCTGATTGTTTCCATGTTATGACCAGAGTTTACTTTATTAAGATTGTATGTGACTGACAGATGGTAGTGAATAAATAAAAGAAACATGATTTTAGGTCCTCTTCTTCCTTTCTTTCATTCTTTCTTTCATTCTTTCTTTCTTTCTTTCTTTCTTTCTTTCTTTCTTTCTTTCTTTCTTTCTTTCTTTCTTTCTTTCTTTCTTTCTTTCTTTCTTTCTTTCTTTTTTCTTTCTTTCTTCTTTCTTTCTTTCTTCTTTCTTTCTTTCTTTCTTTCTTTCTTTCTTTCTTTCTTTCTTTCTTTGTTTGTTTGTTTGTTTCTTTCTTTCTTTCTTTTTCTTTTCTTTCTTTCTTTCTTTCTTTCTTTCTTTCTTTCTTTCTTTCTTTCTTTCTTTCCAAATAATCTAAAAAGTGTTGCATATATTTATGTTCAGGTCCTCTAGTTCAGTACTTGATACTTCTCGGGTGCGCTAATGGCAGCATCATGCTGTGTGGATACTTGTCTTCAGAGGGTCTGATGAGATTTTACCAATGAAAAATTAAATAGTGGAAGTAAGAGAGTTGAGAGAGAGCTGCAAGTTTTGTGGTTTCTCCACCAAATTTGCTCAACTAGAAACTGAAATTTCTTTGTAAGATTGCTCAAGCTTGGTTAGATTGATTGGAAAACATCTGTAAGTAGGAATTTTTAAATCTTGCTACAAAATTTCTAACTCATTTAGGTCTGGATTTTGATTAGACCAAATGAATATGCTTTGATCCGAACCAGCTTTCTGAATGAAGGATCATTATCTACTGCTGCTGAAGCCTTTTTTCTTCCTTTAAATCTACCCATCTCTATACCAAGCATCTCCACAGCAAGATGCTGCCACCACTATGTGTCATTGTGGAGATGATGTGTTTAGAATTATGGGTTGTCTCAGTTTTCTATAACATGTTTTTTTTTTTTTTAGATCTAGAACAAATGGTTAAATTTGACTTCTGATGGCTCTCTCTCAACTCTCTTACTGCCACTATTTAATTTTTCATTGGTAAAATCTCATTAGCCCCTGTAAAGGGGCTAATGCCACCAGCGCACCTGAGAAGTATCAAAAAGGTGTAAATACTTTTGCAAGGCACTATGATTGGTGTGTTGGGGCAACAAAGTACAACTACACTTGTGGTTGTGTAGCATCAACACCAACTGAAGTCACTGTCTTAAATTATTTAAAACAAACTAACAATAACAACAAGTTGCTATCAAAAACAGTTTGTTATTGATAGGTATTACTCTGAAAGATTTCCTGTAAATATATCCAGATTTCTCTCAAACATGCCAGGCATTAAATCAAAAACTCTTATCACATTTGACAATAAACGTTTCGTTGGTATCGAAGACAAAGCACGCTTCATGTTCCGTGTGATCTATCCTTAAACCTAAAGCGCATCACTTACTTCCTCAGTGTTTCCAGCCTCTCCGGTCTCACGCCTCCTGCGTGTTTTTTTTCCCCTCAGTTAACCCTGAGCCCGGCGCAGCAGCAGCTGCTGCTCCAGCAGGCCCAAGCTCATCTGCTGGCTGCAGCCGTGCAGCAGCAGCAGCAGCAGCAGCACTCCGCCAGTCAGCAGAGCAGCACCACTGGAGCCAACATCTCGGCCACCGCAGCTGCGCCGATCACCCAGCTGCCCCTGTCACAGCCCATCCAAATCGCCCCTGTAAGTCGCCGCTATCTATACGCTTCCAGTAAAAAGTTTCAAACAGTCAGCTAATTGTGTGTGTTCTTTTTTTTCTTTTTCTTTTTTGTGCAGCAGCTGCCGCAGAATCTAACCCTGCCTCAGTTTGTCCTGGTTCAGTCTGGCCACCCGATCGCAACGCCGTTGCAGCCCACTCAGTTCATCATCTCGCAGACGCCGCCGGCCCAGCAAGGCATGTGAATTTACTCGCACGATTTAGAGAGAAACATTAGCACAATTTTGTTAAAATGTTCCTATTGCATGTAACTCTTCAGGCATATTGCCAGCCCAGAGTCTTCTAACTCAACTACCTCAAAGCCAAGCTAACCTCCATCCGACTCAAACAAGCATTACCCTTGCAACTCAGGTAAGATATAATCAAAGTTTGTTTACGTTGCTAAGTTCTTATATATGCTTTGTTTGTCTTTACTTCTTAATTTACGTTCATTTTCCTCTGCAGCCTGCATCTCCAACTCGTACGACGGCAACCACCAACATTCAGAGTCTGCCCCACAGTCAGACGCCCCCCAAGCGGATGGACACCCCCACGATGGAGGAGCCCAGTGATCTTGAAGAGCTGGAGCAGTTTGCCAAAACCTTCAAGCAGCGGCGAATCAAACTGGGCTTCACACAGGTGAATGGTCAAGAGATAAATCTGAAAAAGATTTCGAGTTAGATTCACAAATGTGTGCTGGCAGTAAGCATCTCCAGTTGATTTTACATAGTTTGTGAAAGCAGGAAATTTTGCTTTCTGATTTCCCAAATAAATATTGGAAAATGTATGTGCATGTATTAAAGGTGCAGGATAATTTCCTTCAGATTTGATCAATCTTTTGGTTGCAGACTTTAAAATGAAGCTAAATGGAATTGGTAAATAAAAAGTAACTAGATTCATGTTTTGGACTCGTTTCCAGAATGTTATAAAAGTGGGAGGAGAATTTAAAGTTTGAGAAAGTTTGGACTCTGACTCATAAATTACAAAGGAACTCTGTTTTTTAATGTCAATTGTGTTTTTCTTCATTTTTCTTCATCTTCAAGGTATCATATACTATTGGCACCTTTAAAGAAATATAATATTGCAAACCAGTACAGAGACATAAAGGAAGCTCTGACATTTAGTTAGTGTTCAACTCCAGTTTGAAGTTGTGCAGTTGAGTTACACCTAAATTACAACTTCCTGTCTTGTAGCATGATTAGTTTTCTGTGTCTGAACCAAGCTGAGATTCAGGAGCTGCAGCAGCAGGAACCAGCTTGCATATTCATAGATCCATGCTTATTAAATGAAGAAAAATGTGCGAAAGTCACATGTTTGCCATTTTAAGCTCTGATCAGAATATTTTTGCGAATCCAAAAAAATCTTTTCACTATGTAATTTAAATGAACAGAGATTAGTTATTAGAGGCTTTAATCAGAAATAGGAGACTAGAGGACAGTTAATAATTTATGACTCATATTTCCGTGTCGTTGTCTCCCTTCAAATCGCAGGGGGACGTCGGCCTGGCTATGGGGAAGCTGTATGGAAACGACTTCAGCCAAACCACCATTTCTCGCTTTGAGGCCTTGAATCTGAGCTTTAAGAACATGTGCAAACTCAAGCCTTTGCTGGAGAAGTGGCTTAATGATGCAGGTTTGTCCCTAAACCCACCTGAATATAAAAAGTGTGTTTCTTGAGTTTGATGGCAGATGAATCAAACAAATCATGATGAGCATTTTGAAGAACTTGAACTCAATGTTCTGAGTTGAAGGACGGTGGGTTTTGTATGATCTACTTTGCCTTTACCTCTCTCCTTTCCTTTTGTCGGTGCTGTTTGTGCAGAGAATCTGACATCTGACCAGTCCTTGTCCAGCCCCAGTGCCCTGGGCTCCTCAGGCTTGGGCATAGAGGGCATCAACCGCAGGCGGAAGAAAAGGACCAGTATCGAGACCAACATTCGAGTGGCCTTAGAAAAGAGCTTTCTGGAGGTGAGAGCCTCATGTTCATGAAATCAAAAATCCTGATTGAATTGAGTTTTCAAGGTTTGGGAAGTGCGTGACATCTATCTATCTGCATTGTTTTGTAATAAAGTTGCAGTAGATTTTTAGGGGAAAAGACTCCTTACAGAAAGGCAGGGTATTATTTATTTAGGGTAAGAATTTCATTGGAGCCAAAATGTAATTTAACAGGCAGATTTATACAAAATAATGACAGTTTATTATTCCTAATGGCTCAGTGAGTTATTGATCTGAATAATTGAAATGAAGGTGGTCTTATATTTTTATACACTAAAATTATTGAAATTGCTGATTTAAAAAAAAAAAAAAAATTGTTAAATCAACGTTTTGTTCTCAGACCAGTCAGGTGTAGAGAGAATTAAAATTTTGTTTTATTTCAGCTTACTTTGTCCCTGCTATTCAGAATACTATCATAAGGTATTATTAATAACAGTAATTAATTATGTTAATAATTAATTAACGTACTTAATGGTGATTTGATACTTGTTTTTTTAATTCATTTGTATAGTTTCCATCTGAAAAGTGTGGTGCTGGAAAAATTTGAAAACTTGCCTTTGAAACTCAGTTTTTGCAAACTGTGATGCAGCGATGAGGTTGTTTGTGATGACGCAGCGCTGCAGTTTCCTCAGTACTGACAGGGAATTCCTGGCTTCTTTGCCCTCTTCAAGCAGAACCAAAAACCTACCTCTGACGAGATCAGCATTATCGCTGACCAGCTCAACATGGAGAAGGAGGTGATCCGGGTCTGGTTCTGCAATCGCCGACAGAAAGAGAAGCGGATTAACCCGCCCAGCAGCGTCAATAATGGAGGAGGCAGCACCTCCATCAAAACCATCTTTACCCCCAGCAGCCCTTTGGTAGCCACCTTAAAACCGTTCTTTAGCAGTGTTGGATCTCTTGACTGATCCTTCACACTTCATGCTTTAAGCTAAACGTAAAACAAGATGTAAACCCTGAGAAGCTTCCTGACTGTTCCTCCATATCCTCGTCTCCAGGTGGCAAGCACAGCAAGCCTTGTTAGCAGTCCAACTATTAACACATCCACCACCCTGACTGTAAACCCAGTGATGCCTCTCACCAGCACCAGTGTCTCTAGTTTGGCTTTCACAGGTTTGTGTTTGTCTTAACTTTGACTGAAACCTTGAATCAGTTGATCTAAGCTGGGTGACTGTTTCATGTATCATTATTTACTATTTAAGAGCAACCTTGGTGTTAAAATGCCCTACCTGTAAATCTACACCTGGGAGTCTCACCATGCACAAACTTATGAATAGGCAAATAGCTTCCTCTGTTTTGTACGCCTGCAGCTGCTGCATTCCTGCTTACATTTAACTTTATTCGATCTTGAAATAAGTCGCAGATATCATCGGCATCCTGACTGAGTATCAAAAATCTTACATGTTTGTTGTTTTAGCTTCAGTAATGTTTTAGAGAGTGTCTTTAATATTGCAGTGGGCTATTGTGCAACTTTTAAGTAGTTTTCAGTTGAAAGGAAACAGCTGCAGGCAAGTGTTGGAGGTTTAGGTGGGGACCACTTTGCATATTTATACACATTTTAAAAGAGAACAGGCTGCAGAGTTTCAGTTGAACAATTTCGACATCACATTCATTATTTGCAAAAGTAAAACTTTCGGTACATGGAGTAAAACTGGCACAGTTTAGATGAGGGGTGGAAAAAAATGCTCTAATTTCATTCAAGCGACTTTAAGTCAAACCTGATTAACTTTTACACACTTTGGAATAAATTATATCTTGTTTCCAACAAGATATCCCTGTCCTGGCTGTGAGGACAGGGCCAGTTTACACAAGATTTTGTCTTCTTCCTTTTCTTTTTACTCTTTTTTTTTTTTGTAAATTGATGATGGAAATGTTTTAAATCGAGCGTTTAACCCGATTATTTTCATGGAGAAAAAATAAATTTGATTCCTCTTCTTTCCCCATCTACTAAGGCACAACAGTTGGAGGCACAAACACTGCATCGGTCATCTCCACCGCACCTGTACTCACCACGTCAACCAGCGCTCCATCGATAAACCCATCCACGACCACTGTTCAGTCCACATCCACAGACAGCAAAACCAGCGTTCAGGCGCTGGTCACGCAGGCGCCAACGTCCATAGCGACGTCCTTAGGGACGGGCCAGGTAATGGTGGCCGCTCCAGGCCTATCCACTGCCCAGCTGCCCACTAGTGCCAGCTTTGCAGCCATGGCTGCAGCTGCGGGGCTGACTCCGGGACTGATGGCATCATCCCAGTTCACTCCAGGGTTAGTCTCTGACTTTTTTACAATTTGATGAGTTTTTTTTCCCCCTGTATTTGCCTTAATAATGTTTGTTTTGTTTTCAGGGGCGCCCTTCTTAGTCTGACTCCTGGGGGGCTTGGCAGTGCACTGAGTCCTCTGATGAATAACAGCACTCTGGCTGCAATTCAAGGTGTGTGCTAGGCCAGCATCATGACCCAGTAGTAAACATTTTTGGATAATTTCCCTTTTAGCAAAATGAGTGTGGTTTTTCTCTTTTTTTGTGTTTCTTTTGTGTAAGACATTGCACACTGAAACAATGGATGAAATAAAACTGCAAGCAACACCCAGTTGCTGCTCAATGGATTTAGAATAATACTTTCTAAAAGATGAAAAGGAGAGTTTTCTTTTAGATAGTATTATCTAAAAAACAACTTACATCTGTGTTGGTAACAATAAAACTTTCTGTTAAACTCGTTGATCTTTTTAGTTTTGATTCGCTGCAGCAACCATTAATAAATCCCAATATGGGCTTTAGAGAAGTTCTATTCAGTGGAGGATAATCCAGACCAGATTTGAGGAGCGTCAGGGTTATAGATTATGAAATAGTGCTGATCTAATTTGGCCTCTATGCCAAAAACAGCCTTAAAGTCAACGTCATTGTTAACTGTTTTATTATTTGAGTGGACTGATTTCAAAGACAAACGACTAAAATTGTTTCTATTCAATCTTTGTTTCTCCTGCAAATAAAGAACTGAATCTATCTGTAGAAAATGGATAGTAATGTTTGGATAAATTAAACAGCCCATAACAAATGGTTGCATTAGTTAAACACATGTAAATATTATTGAAGACCTTGTGTTTTGCACACTAAAGCCGATCCTCTTGCCTCCTCCTCAGCACTGGCATCGGGCGGCCCCATCCCCATCACGTCTCTGGACGGCGGCAACCTGCTGTTCGCCAACACCTCGGCGGCCAACGCGCCCAACCTGGTGACCACGCCGCTCTTCCTCAACCCCCAAAACCTGTCGTTGCTCACCAGCAACCCCGTCAGCCTGGTGTCGGCGGGGGCAGGCGGGCTCCAGGTTACCGCCGACGCCCACCACCAGGCCACCACCGCTGCCGTGCCTGTGCAAGCCTCGACCATTACCACTGCCTCCAAGGCTCAGTGAAGCCTCGCTCCTGATGCCTCGCTTCCTGCCGCGAGCACTACTTCCCGTCACGACGGGCGGGGGACACAGGCTTCACTACCCGCCCCCCACACGTTTCACATTAGAAGTAGAACATTATTTAATGTATTTGCTGCCACCAAAAAGAAAACGACATCCAATGTAATTGGGCATAGGTTTTGTTTTTCTTTTTTTTTTTTCTCTCTTTCTTTTTTGTTTTCAATAGTTCTCAATATTTTCTTTCACAAACACTCTTGGCCTGAAAAAAAGAAAAAACAAACTCTGCACCATCACACTATTATGTACATATTTCCTCCTACTACGAGGTCAGAATCACAACTGACACGTCTAACCAAAAAAAAAAAAAAAAAAACTAAATCTTGTCCCTTCTAACATTTAAACTTGAGTCTTTTTCACTAATCTCAATGTTTTGTCGTGATAACAAGGGTTAGTACGTCACTTTCTTTCTGTTTTTTATTCATGTTTTTGACAGGCCTCAACTTAAATCATATCAAAGTTGTACTCTTCTTTGCATTTCCTTTCTATGTACTTTTTTTAGACTTTAAAATCTATATAATTCTAATAAGTTAATATTCACCTATCACTTTTTAATCGTGGTTATAAGGCTTTAAATGCAAGTAATAAGTGGCCGATTTAAAGGTTATCATTGCTTTAAGGGTCGGAGGTGACTGGGTGGGTCTCTCTGCGTCTCTTCTCTGGAAACACTGAGTTTTACAAGTCGCTGTGGCGGTCAAACGGCCTCTTAGCTTTTGTAAAATGAGGGTCTAGTTGTGGATTGTTGACACTGACAGAAAATGGCTCGAAATATTTGTGTGAAAAGCTTTTAAAGAGAGCGAGCTGCAGCCACGTATCCGGACGAGGTGGTTTGGGTTGCAATGTGCTTTCTGCAGCTCTTCCAGATCAGTTTCTGGCAGTGTGTGTTTTTTTTTTTTTTTTTCGAGGAGGGGCATGTACTGCGAGTACTACTGGCTCCATGGGATTTTATTGTGGGTTTGTGTTTTTTTTTTTTTCCTTTTCTTTTTAATAGTAGTACTGTCATATATGAACTTGTGCACAGTATCTGTACCAAAAAAAAAACTGGATTGATGAGCTGCAGTCTGCCTGAGTTTGGGAGGAATGAATACGTACTTTAAGATATACCAAAAATATTTGTCAAAATAGTTGCTGTGTGTAGTCAGTGTAGCTTAGTCTAGTCGATATATTTATGAGTGCAGAATCTCTCCTCATCGTCAACAGAATATAGAAATGCAATATTTTGATGACCATTTTCCAAAGATAACATTGTTTCTGTTTTTTGGTGTTGTTTTTTAATTTGAGTGGCAGCACTACTCGCCAACAGGAGAGGGATGCGATGGTTGTGAAAATTGGTTTCTTTTTTACTTTTATGAGACATAATTGTTCATTTTTACCACCTGGGCCTTGCCCTCAATTTTTGGTTTTTCAGAGCCGTTTTCAAGGTATTCTTTTTCTTTTTTTATTCTAATCTGTTCTAGTAGCATTTTTGATGTTTTTTCTGAACCGTAGTGGAAAGTAGGCATGGGCCGGTATGATAGACCAAGTTTTACGCTTTTCAGATGATCTAATTTCTTCTTTTTTAAACGCCTTGCCAACTGGCTCGTAGATTGGCCGACTGTCATGTCAGTAGTTCCTTGATAAGAGTGAAGGATTTTTTTGAGGCTTGAAATATTTCCAAACGGTCAGCTGCACAGCATCACTACTTCAAGTTGCAGAAAAAAGTATCTGGTATTACATTAAACCGACTTTAACCATAAGAACTGTTTGTAACAGGTAACTGGCCCATGCCTAATGGACTTTTTTTGTTTGTTTGTTTTGTGCTAATATTCAGCCATAAAACAACAGCTCGAACCAAAGCGGTTTTACTCAGTAGTTGCTGTGCCTGCCGGAGCACGCAAGTTGCTGTTCACGTGGTTTCTACGATTTCCCCCGCTCGTGCAAGCAGTTTTTTCCTCTTCTCCAAATGCCAGATTCTCCCCGATTTGGTGCTGCTGGAACCAGATCACAGAAACTTAGCTTTAACAACTTGCTGCAGAAGCTCCCGACGGGGGGCCGAGCTGTCGAGAGGCCTGCATGCTTCCTTTATAGCTTTACGACTACGCCCTGTGGAAGTCGGGGTTAGGTAGTCTCGACCCTCCCACCGGGAGGACTCACCTGTGTAAATGCATAAACCCAATCGTCGGAGAACATTCTTCATGTTCGTCTCGGTGTCTCCGCTTTGACCCATTGTGTCTGTGAACTGGTTGTAAACCCACCTAACTGTTTTGCATAGCAGCACATTCAGTCACACCCCACGGGAAGGTAGCATTGATCCATATCCAAATGACGACTTTAGTTCCTGCAGTGATTCTTTTTTTTTTTTTTTCTGTGACTGTAAGTTGTGAAATTTGTCCACACGATCCTCCTCCTCGTTTTCTTTTTAATAATTGTGACTAAATATACCTCAGCAGAAACTTCAACATAGGTTCACCGTTAGACATTTCTGGGTGTAGAATGTATAAGTACTGTCTGGCTTTCCCATTCAGAGGTTATACCGTTCATAGGAACCATAACGTTAAAGGACAACCTACTACTACTACTACTGCTATTTTCTAGTACTACTATTTAAAGGGTATTTCTGGGTTTATGTGTTTTTTTTTGTTTTTTTTGTTGTTTTTTTTGTTTGTTTGTTTTTTTTAGATCTTTTTTGCCAAAGTAAAAGCCTTTTCTCATCAAAGCTTTGTGGATGTCTGGCCCCCTCCAGCCTGCAGGGGGCGCTCAGTTCCTGCCCCCCTCTTTTAATTGTTATGTTTCACCTGCACCATGACGAACCAGCTGGCACCATAGGATGTTACTGAAATATTTATCTGAGGAAAGACTTAACAATTAGAGAAGCAACCTTTTCTGAATTCTATATAAATATATATATAAACACGTGTAAGATATTCATATTTTATATTTGAACTAGTATGTTATCAAGATTGAATGTAGTGTCTATCATGCTAACTCAAAAGAATAAATCTCCCCGCAGTCTTTTAATGCTTTATTCACTTTTTGTTTTGTTTTTTTATTAACCTGACCAAAAATATGAGAGGAAGTCGGTGAGGATGCCTCTGTTTTTGACCTGAGGAACTCGAGACGCTGAAGCATCTGACCTTGTTGCTTTATTTTATAATTATTATTATTGCTAAGATTTTATTTTTGCGTTGTTGTGAATTTGATTTGCTGTGTTGTCTTTAACAATCATTTTTCTTTAACTTTTTGGCCTTTCTTTTTGTATAGCGTGAGAGGATACGATACGATCACTGGCTTTTGTAGTTTGACAAGAGAGGATTAACATTATCATTTATGCCTTACTGTTGCGTAGAAGACATGAGCATTGTAGCATTGCGTTGGTGTGTGTGTGTGTGTGTGAGGGCTACTCTGGTGCATTTCGTTGAAATGGAAGATATCTGGGGCATTTTGGAGTGGATTAGTGATGTGCGTTTTGTTTCGGCCAGGTTGGAAAATGCTTTACTTGTAATTCCAGTGGCTCTTTGTGTATGAAAGTGAGTTTGGGTTGTCTGCCAACCTTTACGGTGCATTTTCCCTCATCTTCCAGCTGGTGTAAGGAGTGATTTTCTTTTTTTCTTTCTTGAATCAAAAAGTTTGTAATAGAGAAGTGCTTACTTCTTTTTTTTTTTTTTTTTGACTGAGTTCGTCTACTGATTAGGCCACAGGCTTCAAGCAGGCCGTTCGCCGAGCTTGCTTTGGGAAAATCGTACCGTTTGTGGTTAATTTGTTTGTTCTCTCTTTTTTTTTATTTGATATTCTGATGAGCTGTTTTCTTGGCTTTTAGTGCTTCACTGTCAGTAGGTGATCTTGAGACTTCAAGGCGTTCTCGTGGTTCAACCAGGCGACTATATTGAGCCCGATTATGTCAGTTTGCTGTGGAGGAAGAACAGGTGGACCACCAGTAAGGCAAAACAAACTGTTGTATACCTCATTTCTTAACTCAAAACTGAGTGAAACCTGCTTTAATCTACTTATAAGAGAAGAAAAATGTTTTTAAAAGTTTTAAAAAAAAATGTCGGTGGAGAAGCCTGCTCATACCTGTACTGCCACAAGGTGGAGGCAGATTACACACCAGTGCTTGTGAATGTCTGCTGTTTTTTTTCCCCTTCACGACTTGTGCACACACGTGTCTTTACTTCTGTCAGAACTGAAAAATCTGCAATCTTGTTGCCACTTTAGTTAATTTCCTACCCTCGTTTTTGTGTCTGTACCCTTCCTTTTAAGTTTGACAATCCTGTTTTGTTTTGTTTTTTTGCTCATATTTTTGCTTGTTATTTATGACACGGTACAAGTATGTGCAGGTTTCCTCCTGTCGTGGCCCGCTCTCGGTTTCCTGTGGTACCAACGCTAACCAAAGACTTCTAACTTGATTGTACGCGAGCAACGCCGTCGTCTCGCCCATCCCCGCCTCACTGCTCAGCATCTAATCCAGGCTGCACTCTCTCCACGTCCCTCATCCTCCAGAGTCCCAAAGCGTTTAAGGGGATGTTCTTTTTGTTTGTTTTGTTGTGCTTTTCTCGTAGTGAATGTGCGTCCTGTCGGTGCAGCGGTTTCAGTGCCTGTGGGCGGGGATCGGAGGGGGCTGAGCGGGCCTCTGTGACGGGCACGAACCAATGTGGCGATAGCTGGGTGATGTTTGTTAATACACTCTGAGGGTGGATCCTGTGCACGCTGTACCTGCTCAGGACTTTGTACGTCCTCCCTGACTCTCTTCCATTGCGTCTCTCTCTTTCTCAAGGACTTCTTCTTCCCCTTTCTCCCCCTCCATGTCTCCAGAAACTCGTCCTTCCCTTCACCGTCGTCTCTTTACAGACTCTGTGACACTATGCATCACGGTCCGTCCCCGCCCGGTTCAGACCCGACGGGGCTTCGGTGACACTTTTGTCTAAGGCTTTACTCCAGGCGAGGCCGTCCGGCTCTCACAAGCGCTATCCCAAAGCAAAAATCCAAATATTTAAACTTTTTGACAAACGCAGATACCAAAGATCTCTCTCTCTCTGTCTTTCTCTCTTTGTCTCTGTCTCTCTCTGCCGCCCTTCCCGCCCTGCAGCATGTGTATTAAGAGACAAAACCCAGCTCTGGCTTTTAGTCCTTAGCCTCAGTAATTCCAAAGCTTAGATGTATATTTTGGTACATTTCTGAGAAGAAAAAAAAAAAAAAACTTGTGTGAAAAGCGTCTGTTTGTTGTAACCTCTTTATTATTTTTTATTTTATTTTCTGTCACAGCATGGAACTAATTGCAGAGCTGTCTTACTCTTAGTAGGTTAAAGATATAGTATTTTTGTATGTTTTTTTGGGTGTGTCATGTGTGCGATTATCAGTTTTCCGGCCCAGGCAACCACAGCTTTCAATAAAAAACTGAAAAAAAAAAAAAAAAGATGGCAACCATGTACATATTATGTCAGTGTATCTCAAGAAATGCGTTCTGTAAAACAATTCATGTTGGAAGCTTGGGCTGATCTAAAGGAATGTGTTCCTGTTTTATTTTCCTCCTTTTTCTTACTCTGCAGTCTATCGATTTACTTTCCAGGACTCGAATGTAAGGAGTTTTGGTTTTCACCTGAAATACAACACTGAGAGAGGGACACTGCTCTGACATTATTACTAAAAAGAATTTAAAAAAAAGAAAAAAAAAAGAAAAAGAAGTAAAGGCCTCCAGTCCTGGGGGTTTAGAAATGAAAGATTGTGTAGGAGTTTTAAGTATGTGAATCAGGATACATAGTAGATTTTGATGCATTTGTCTGCTGTATTTTTGTTTTTTGTTTTTATACACATACAAAGATAATCTTTTACTGTAAATGTACAGTTCTTTTTTTTTTGTTGTAAACATCATTAAAACTGTTTTCCAAGTGTTTTGACATGTGCTTTCTCCTGTTATGTACAGTGAATCCGTCTGCGGAGTTCCTGTTGTGTTCAATTTTACTTCAGTCTGTGCTGAAGTAAAATACCTTTATTGCTATTATTGCAGCACAACAGCAAGCTAAAAAACGAAAACATTAAATCAGACTAAACTTTAGTCGGAATTAAATTTCAACTATTTTCTAAATGTCAGACGGAGGATTATTTTTCCAAGCAACTTTAACGTCAAAAGTTGACTTGTGCTTCATTAGCATGTGGTAACAATACAATTTCATCTATTCAGTTATTTTAGTAGGGTGAAATATTTTTGATGTCCTTTAATAATAACCTATTAAATCATTTGTGGGAATTTTGGCTAATTCTTCCCAACAAAAGCTTTGTAGGTGGCACCGCTCACACATTTCCTGTTGGGAGTCGGATCCAGGCTTTTTGAACGTTTTACTCCAAAACATTGATTTTATTGTCCTTAAAGTTACTTTGTGGCTAACTTAGAAGGAGTATTAGTGTTGTTCATCATTTACAAAACTGAATTGAAGTCCAAGCATTAACCTCCTGGCTGACGTCTTGACACGCTGCTTCAGTTTTTGTAACTGTTACTCTTTCCTTAAGTCATTTAATCGGCCTATCCTGGAGCAAAACACCCGAGAGAAGGTTGCCACACCCCTACTTCACACTCGAGATGTTTGCAAGTTTCAAACATCCTACAAATGTAGAAGTAATCACTTCAACATGCCTGTAAAAGTCAAGCTCTTTGCCCCAAGATGCTTTTGAAAAAAATAATCTCTTAAAATGTTCTTGTTGTGTGGCTTTTTCAGCCCAGGTAATGACATTCACCAGCGTCAGCCAAGGTTTTTACAAGATGTTTTGCTTTTTCACAGGCTGAATCAGTATTACTACTGTGGAGATCAATAGCTCCCAGTTTTGAGTTGCCTTCATTTTTACTCAAATGAGAATCAAACCAGTAGCTGTGATGGAAGAAGGTAATAATGTCATTATTCAGCTATTTAGCAAATAGAAATAACTTAAGAATTTGACATAAAATAGGAAATGTTCAGTCTGATTTAATGCCAGATAGTGAGGAAAAAAGTTGGTCTTGTTTTACACAGTGCATGTGACTATCTGTTCTCGGCGGTGCAAAACATCATGTCTGCTAAAAATCCAACCACATTTTATCTAACGAACCACTAGATAAATGAACTGCTTATCGATACGGAAAAAAGCGAAGAGAAAAGGAATGTCTTTACATTAAAAAAAACGGGCAATAATCTAACATTCATCTCAGCTGTAATAAACTTCTGTGTCTCTGCAGGATGCGTCGCTACGGGGCCGGAGTGGGCTGAGGGCTGGTGGGAACAGCTTCATACGGATCGGTATCCCTCGGCTTGCCCTGGCTCTTCTGCAGAGAAGAGAGATGAACTGCATTGAAATATGTTACAAGTCCACATGATTCAAAAGATTATTTAATATTTCAGACTTGATTTCACTGTTCTGACGACCTAAAATGAATTCGACGTGCCTCCTAATCTTCCCTAAAATATTCGGGAGATTCACAGAGTCTGAAATACTTCAGCATTTTTGACTTTAGTATCTCACGGGTGAGCAGGCTGCCTTACCTTAGCTCTCTTCTTCCTGTCAGTTTTTCCCTAAGAGGACAAAACACCGTTGTGAAAAATGAAGAAGGTGAACAAGTGGGAATTTGTTCATTCACGTTCTAAGCACACCTTTGCTTTTTTGGGTTCAAGCACATTATAAGTGTCGGTGTCCTTTGGCCTCTCGAGTTCCTGAAACAAAATGAAATAATTGATAAATGGATAAGAACATAATTACCAAAAATCTGCTTATTTAAGCTGTGAGAATGCTGACCTTACCTGGTAAATACCCCCTTTTTCTCCCTTCATCTTAAAAGACAAGAATAACAATGAAGATCAAATGAAAAGCACGTGGTTTATATGAAAAGTTGGATAACCATCACCAGCTCTATTTGAATAAAAAGTCATTAGAGAGATGATTTGAAGTTTGGATACTTACAGGCTCCGGTTGAACTCGTGGCATCTTGGAGAACTGAGCCAGGATGAAACAAACAGAAATATTAAATCCAACATTTCAACCACCTTTACAATCAAATGAAGCCTTTCCATCAAAGTATAACGGGAACATTTTCTGTAGCCCACTATGTGATCAGAAGGTAAAGTTCAGCAACAAGTTCTTCCAGGATTGTGGATCTCTGCAGCTCCTCCAGAGTCATCTGTGCTGCTTCTCGCACTTCGTGTTTGATCTGCCAGTTTTGGGGGACGCCAATGTCTTGGTAGGTTTGCATGTCCACTTTTGCTTGACCAATGTTATATTCCTGTGTATTCTACAAATTATATGTTAATATTTCAATACAAAGAATAAATATCTATTGAATTCAATTTGTCTAAAACATGTGTGGAGGTGGAATTGTCAGATATAATTATTTTATAAAGTTTGTTTTTGCTTTGTAGTTAATTTAACTGTAGTTTTATTCTATCAGAAGATGAAATTAAATGAAAATGTGAAATCTCATTTAAAAATATTTGATAATTTTCCCGTCACTTATTGCAGACATTCAGCTCTGTTGTTTCTCCCACACTCTGAGAAATAATTTTTTTTTTTACACTTTTAACCATCAAATAATCAGAATCAAGTTTCCGCCGGCTGCTGCTTATCTCTCATTTGAAACGCTCTGAAATGTGGTCCAACCTTTGCTGTGAAACTCACTTTTTCTCTGAAGAACAGCGCCGTCGCACCAATACAGTAGACCATCAGAAACGCGTCCAGGAAGTAGCAGATGACCGGATCAGTGAAAAAAGTTTCTGCAGAAGAAACAAACGGAAAACAGAGGCAGGCAGTGAGACGACTGGTTCAACCTGTGCACAACTGTATCACGTTTGCAACAGAAGAACACGTGAAGCTACAAATGAAGATGTTTGTGCAGTGGACGGTCCGTCTTGGGTTGGGTGCCACGTTGCAGAGTGAATTTGGAAGAGATAAGTTGTCTCGCTGATGGTACCACATGATAATAAAATGCTGGCAGTTTGTTGTCGGAAGGGGACTTTTTGATCTATGACCAAGTTTCAGATTTGGCTCACAGCCCCTAACACACAGCACGCAACGCTGATATCTGCAGAAAACCACCATTGATCTCTTAAACTCTATTTTTCCTTCTAATTATCTAATCTTTATCCTAAACGCTTATGCTGCTACTTTTGCATGACAGTTACTGTGCTCTTCGCTCGTTTGCTGGTGTTTTTATTTTGAGCATGCAGGACTTTGCTTGTGGGTGTTTCTGCAGTGATCTTCTCTCTCGCAGAGGAAGTTCTGCTGTCAAACAATTTTTCCGATCCCAGATTGACCCACTTGAAATTTGTTGGTGTTTTGTCGTTCCGTTTAATCGGGCCCTTTCTGTTTCAGTTCATGATTTAGGTTCAGTTTTCAATTTCTCAAGCAAAAATCCGGTGGTCATGCTCTGAATTGTACATTTTGAAAGTCTGTGTTTATAGGAAGCATCTCTTTTTTTTTCTACAACAGCACCCAAGCAAGGGTTTGAGTTTTTTTTTTATTTGTTTGTTTTTTTTAATTTACTGCATTTTTTTTTTTCCTGAAGCAAAATCTATACCAACTGCATTTTTGTCATTTTTAGATCTCTGAGTCCTCATGCAGCCATTCAAGTGACACTGTGCTTTTTTAGAAACAGAAACACAGGAAGAAACTATAAATGGACCCGGAGGTGTGTGTGAACTGGATGGAAAAAAAAAAAAAGGCCATTAAAGTGAGTCGGATGAGACAACTGAGAGAGACCCCTTCAGAACAGGAAATAAGAAAACTACATATCTGCAGCTGAAAACCTTCAATGTCTTCCTGTCAGTGCGATGGGCTGCTGTGAGGTTTCTGTGAGGCTCTTTTATCTTGGTGTGCGGTTGGAACATCAGCCTTGTAGAGAGAAAGAGGACAGCCGCGGCAGGTTCAGAGAGGCCTTAACGTCTTTCTCTCAGTCATCTGAAGTCGCTTCAGAGCGCAACAGTTCTTCCATTCAAAAGTTATTTTTGTGCTTCTAAAAGCAACAACTGTGTCAAAGCGTAACTTAATAGCAGTGGTGCTAATTTTGGGCCTTATCTTGTTTTGTCATCTGGAAATATTGGCACTCATAATGTGTTGTGAAAATGTTTTTTTTTTTTTTTTTTTTGTAGCCTGAAATCATCGACATTGCATGCATTGAAACTCTTTTATAAAGTTTATAGTGTAAAATTTCTGACACCCCTTTCACTGAGCTTGTCAGCTTAGCTCAGAACCAAGAATCATGGCAGCATCATTTGGACGTATAGAACGAAGACGTGTGATTTAATCTCAACTCTACTTTTGTTTTCTCTTGCTTTGAACACAAAAGCAACTTAGAGATAAAACAACACAACAAAATAATTAAAAATAATTTTGTTACACTGTTTGCGTAGCTTGAAAATAAGTTTCATACAAAGGAAATGTGTCAACTTTTTGACGGTTCTCTCCTTAAGGTACTTGGTTTAGTGCAGCACCAAGAAATATTCCCATATCCTTTGCATAAAAACAAGCTTTGGTCTATTTGGGAGACGACTTCCTGTCCTTTAAGTGCTTCCCACTCCAACTTGAACAATAAATATGCCAATCCACTCCAAATTACTCTTCAGATTCGAAACACGCAGGGTTATAAAGAAGTACTTGGCCACTTACACAGTTCAATGGCTTTTTTTTTTGGCACATTTAAATGCATCAGGTTGTCAAACAGGTGCAGATACAGGTTTGAAATAGTTAATATAATTTACTCAAAGATAATAAAGTTGGCTGGTCTACCTTTGGTAGCAACTATTACCCTCAAGTGTTTGTGACACGAGTCTTTTATGTCATTGATTTTTCTAGTTCAGTCACGATTCTTTGTATAAACGGCCTGTTCGGCTTGACGCCACATCATTTAATTTGAATTTATGTCTTTACTTTGACTAGGTCACTGTAAAATGTGTATTTATTTATGTAGAGGTGGAGCAGCTGATGTGCTTTAGCAAACTGTCAAAAAACTGTGCTGGCCAGACATTTTCTGCTTGCCAATATAATTCGTGGTTTCGCCAATTACGGCAAAACGATATTATTGCCCGGCATCTTAATATTCGTGGAATCATGATCACTGATGTTAACAGAGGTAAACGAGGCCTGCAGTGCTTTGTGTTTTCTTCTTGGACGAGTTGTTGATGCACTTTTGGAGTAATTTTGGTGGAAAAGTTCATACCTGTTAAGTGTCTGGTCCGTTTTTAGATAGTTTGATGAAGTACCAAGCGCATTAAAAATTGATCTGACAAAGATACGTCCAAACAGATGACCTTGCAGTCCAAACAAAAGTAAACTTTTGAAAATATATTTTAAATCTATAGAGAAATAAAAATCCAACTTGTCTGAGGATTTGTTTTTTTGAAAACATGGGTGAAAAGGAGTGTAAGAGATTTCCTTTCACCACTGTGATGATATTAAAATCTTTCATGAATTACATTAATAACATCAGACTCATTTGGATCATAGTGTTACCATCTAGAAAGAAGAACAGTGGAACATCTTTCCATTCAAGAACAGCGATGTGCCATTAATTATAAAAATATTGATCAAACTCCTCACATTTCCGAATCTGAGTGGTTGTCGCTTGCTAATAACTGCAATATGTAGCTGATTGCACAATCACTTCTGTCCGAATTTAATTTAATAAAGTTTGTAGAAATATAACTGTGATCACAGTGAAGCAGGCCACAATAAATATCAGGACTTAGAACATCTTTTTGATTGTTTTTCTCTTCTTTTTTTTTTTTTTTTATCTACAACGTAAAATAGAAAGTCTGTGAGAAATCTAAATTTTATCCCCTTCTAAAAACAAATGTGAATCAACGAAACGAAATAAAACAGATCAAAACAAAAAAATACCACAACATAACGTCTTCTTGGATTTGCATCTTTTAACAGTTTCATGCAAAAATTACCAGTCTGGCAATTTTATCCCTTTGCAATAGGAAATGTACTTTTATATATGTATATGTATTATTTTCAAAAAGAAATATACTTTTGAATTTCCATAACAAGTGTAATTTTGGATTATCATTTTTGTATCTTCTTTCTTGCTTTGTCCCAGGTTTTGGCAAAACTGAACATAGAAATGAATCTTAAACCAACATAAACAAAATAAATTTGCACTTAAGATAAAAAGCATCAGGATGACAACAAAGAAGTACAGCAGGATAAATGATCTAAATGTTTCAGAGTGTTGAGTTTTGTTGGTGCGATGTCGATCGTAGGGGTCACGCTGAAACTTATTGAAATTAACAACATTTTTGGGAAACAAAATTAATTCGGAGTTCAATATTCATAGTTAAAGTGACATAAATCTTAATCACAAAAACCAAAATCCGAAGAACATTTTGTCACAAGCTCAGAAAAGTTTGTTTGACAAAAACTTTCTTTTTGTTTCACTTACCTTCACAGCAAACAGGCATGAACAGTGCAAAGAGCACCAACACGCCTCTCATCCATGAATCCATGCCTCTGTCTGTCAGTAAAAATGAATGTTTCTCTCTTTTCATCAAGCAGCTGCAAGTCGCCTCACGGTATCGTCTGATCCCCTGTTGAGAGGAAGAGGCTGAATGACAACCTACTAGTGGACTGAGACAGAAAACTACAAAGCTGTGTTGCAACCCTGAACACCTACCGCTGGTCTCGCCCTCTCTGTTCATTTGATCTGCTCAGAATCTGCATTTAGAGGCTAAATGTTGCCACCTTGAGGGTCTCAACTCAGGCTGTGCCTCTAAATTGCACGTACAGCCTTATTATTAAGTTAATTCCGGACACAAATAATAGCTGGTGGAGTTGGAGCTAATTAACTTGGTTGCAAAAGAGGAATAAAATTGCCTGCTGAAGGTTTTGTCTTCAAATCGTGCAAAGTAATGACCTCTTTCTATTGGAACATCTTCACCACCTTCAAGGATATTCAACATTCACGCAACCTCAACTGAGCTCTCTTTTTGGCAACAGGAAAACCTAAAAATATAACTGTTCAAAAGGAATAAACTAAAAAAAAAACTTTTTTGCCTTCACTGTAAGATAAAAAATGGCACTGCAATAAACAGATTGTTGTTTTTTTTTTTTAAAAATGACAAAAGCAGAAACTTGGAGCAAATAAAAACGAATAAAAACGACACAGTCAGTGTACGGTAAGCATTTAACAAGCACAAAAAGCTCATCTGACTGCTCTACGTTCTTCAAATATCTGCAACTGTAAAGGTCAGGAGAAATGTTAAATGTTAGTTAAATGTTAGTGGGTTTGTGTTGAGCAAAGAGAAACAGTTCAGCATGCTTCCAAAGCCTTGTACATTTCTGAAGTTGCACAATCACACCAATTTGAAGAAAACATCCAAACTGGCTGCAGGCAGATATTAATACATATCGCAAGAAATCCTGGTGATAACAAGCCAAAAATTGATATGGAAAATGCAGCCTGTGGAAAAAGTTTACAATTTAATTAAGGAAAATCTGGCTATTATCCTAAGTGCCTGATGTCAAGCTGAGTCTAATTGCTGAGGAGAATGTGCAAAGGTGTTCATGATGTCTAAGATTGGCAGGAAGATGGGAGCAACAAGTTGTTTCCTTGACTTACAAGAGAAAAATAACTATAGAAGAAACACAATTTTAGTTTTTCCAAAATATTTTTGATACAAGCTTTAAAATGTACGTTTTCATCAATTACAACCCCCAAATATTTGTAAGAAGACACAAGCTCAACAGGGGAACCATTAAAGGATAAAATACGGGGCAGAACCCGTGTAGCCTCAGTTTCCTGTTCCTAGGTGACATGAACAGCACCAGGTGTGGTTTCTGCTGCTGTTTCAAGGTTTGACGTGTCAAGTTATCGGTGAAATTCTGCACATATCTTAGTTTGTAATAAGTATTTGCGCAACTGTTTCCTTTCCTTCATGTGAAATTCGTCAAACTTTTCTCCTCTTATATTGTGGAGCAGCCGGATGTCTTCTGTTTTCCAGCCAATCTCCATAAGCTGGATAGGTGGTTACTGTTTGTGAAAATCCCAGTATCCGTTTCTGAAATACTCAGTTCAGACAATCAGCCTAAAACAGCCGTGCCATGTTAGAAATCAATCAAATCCCCTTTTCTCTCCGATTTTAAATCTGGTTAAACTTCTAGAAGCCTCCTCGGCACGCCTAGATCCAGAAATGTCAATATTTACTGCTGAGAATACTGATTTGATATTTGTCTTGATAGCAAATTGAACTGTCTCTGGTATTAACCCCAGAGAGTGTCATTTTGAGCACTTTTCTTGTTTTTGCTTCTATAATTGATAAAATGGCTTCCTAACTAATTACCAGTTTTATGGAGTTTTGTTTTCCTGAGTGCTTCTGCATTAATATTTCTTTCTTTAACTTTCTTTTCGACTAAAATAACATCACTTTTGTTTAATGTTTCCTATCCCATGAAGCTGTTGCTACAGTGACAGACCACTGCATCCACAGCAGACACAGGATTAGTATCAGATTATTTCTCCATGCAGTTGTAGGCTGTGTAACATCACATCTCCCGTAAATGTTTAAATCCCTTCTGTTTTTGCATTAGTTTCCCCCCCCTTTTCTTATGGACAAAAACACATAAACATTTTGTTGCTTTAATGAAGATATTTGTGCACAATTTGTCATTTTAAAATCACTAGCACATTTCCCTTAAACGGACTGTTATTTTCAATATCTGTGCAGATTTACTTTTCCTATTTTGTAAATTTGTACTTCCTGTTTGGTTTTATTTTTCATATACGTAAAATATTTTACCTAAGTCTGAATAGGCATACTTCTGTTTACCTTTAACTTGGTGCTGGTGCTTCTGAATTTCCTCACTTTAGGACAATATTTAGCAAATATTTCTGCTATATTTTATTGTATTTGTAATGAAAGATTTGCCAGGCCTTTTAGGTGTGTTTTCTCCCTCTCGACTGTTCAATAATCGGTCATTTGACCTCAAACATCGCTACATTGAGTAAATGCGGCTGTTTGCTTTAAATGTTCAGGAATACCAGACTAACTCCAGCTGGAGTTAGTCTGGATGTCACGTGACTTTCTCGGCGTTTCTTAAGCGCGAGTCACATGACCCTGACGTCAGCGCTAGCAGTGGCAATAAAGTGTCAAATGCGGGCTTATTGACCTCTAAACCTCTTCATGCAGGCAGAAGAAATCTGAGACCAGTGAACACCGACTGTGTGAGCTTTTTATTCTCAGCGACATTGCTTTATAAGTCTTCTACTTTCGTCGTTCTCTCTTTTTTTTTGGCGACGCCAACGTTAGCCTCGCTAGCACGGCCCAGCTAACCGTAGCTAACTGTCTGTTTGTTGTGATTTATTTTTATCCCGGAGAAAAGAAAACAATATGATCTCTGCTGGCGGACTGCCTCGGGGTTGGATGGGAGTGATGTTACCGCTCATTTTAGGTGAGTAACTGCTTTAAGTCTTTGTGACTTTACCGGGAAACAGCGTTAGCAGCTCGAAAGCTGGCAGATATGTAGCCTGAATAATACGTTGGAACCAAGCAAGCACGCAGACAGTTAAAATGGTAAGCAAAGTTTTCGGCGTATGTCGTTTTTCGTCACATGTTTGTGGTTTTCAATTTCTGAAGCTTTCAATTTCAACCTCGCCCACTTCTCTAGTTTCATGTTTTCTTTCAGGTCAGCCTTAAAAAGTGTAGGTCGTTATCTAAATGTTTAATGGCAATCTAATCATATCTTCTTTTTTTTTTTTAAGTAGGCTATGCTTTGAGTCTAGAACATTACATTACTACATGTGTCTTATGTCTCAGCGAGATCTAGATGAAGTCATGCATCTTCAGTCTTATTGATTATTGCAACAGCGTCCAACAAATCAATGCTCCAGCTGCAGCTGATCCAGAACGCTGCTGCTCAGCTTCTCACTAGAACCGGGAAGGTGGAGCACATAACATCAGTGTTAAAGTCCCTGCACTGGCTCCCTGTAGCTCAAAGAATAGACTGTAAAATACTGTTGGTTTATAAATCACTGAATGTATCAGCACCACAATACATTAAAGATGTGTTGTTGTTGTATCAACCTTCCAGACCCCTCAGGTCTTCTGGTTTTGTTCTGCTCTGCATCCCCAGAACCAAACGAGAAGATTAAAGCCCCACAAGCTCAAACAAGACTTTTTTTTTTTTTTTGTCACATCTACATGAAGTGATATTTTTAGATGATGGTTACTATCGGTCACAAATACTTCCTCTTCATTCCAATCTATGAAAAATACTACAGAAAACAGGTTGACAAATATAAAATAGCATTTTATTCCTAACAAGGTGATTCTGACAGGGCGAATGGCTGAGAAACAAACATGCAGTGGATGATAAACTGGAGGATGGAGCGTTTCTCAGGCCTTTGTTGGATTTTTCTGGTCATTTACTGCAGGAGTCTCCAATTCCAGTCCCTTCTGCAGCATTTAGATCTGGGCTGTCAAACTCCAGCCCTCAAGGGCCACTGTCCTGAAGTTTTCATATGTGCCACAGATACAAAACACTGGAATCAAATGGTTTAATTACCTCCTCCTTCTGTAGATAAGTTTTGCAGCGCCTGCTAATGACCTAATTCTGTTCAGGTGTGGCGCAGCAGAGGCGCATCTAAAAGTTTCAGGGCCGTGGCCCTCGAGGACTGGAGTTTGACACCTGTGATTTAGATGCATTCCTGCTCCAACACGCCTGATTTAAATGACTGGTTCATTACCAGGCCTTTGTCAACCTTGATGTCATGGTTAGGAGGTAATTCAGTCATTGGATTCAGCATGTTGGAGCAGATAAAAGCTGCAGAAATGGCGTTGGGGACCTTTGACCTACTACATGTTGATTTTTAGGCCTTCTCTTGCAAAGAAATGTCATGTGGCTTAAGACTCTTGCTCTTACTTTCTCGCCATGACATCAAGTGTGTTTAATATTAGAAGATAATTTAATTACTGTGAGTTTTTTTATCTAGTATATTTTTAAATAAAGACCTGAACTATAGCGAATGTAACTGACTTTTTGAACCAAGTCAACAGCAGAAATGTTCAATGTGGTTAATTATTGGTTAAAAGTATTACTGCTATGCTCTTCTACCACAACCCAAACGTCCTGTTAGTAGTTACTTATTTTCAGTGCATTGCATGAGATCTAGCTTTACACTGGATTTTTTTTATTTCTAACATGCTTTGCATTGCTGATTTAAATATGCAAATTAGTTGTTTTATCTACTTGGCTACCATTATCCTTTCCTCCCATCATGCAACAGGCGTTTTGGTTGTTGCTCTTTGGTGCTTCTGCAGAGGCTGCAGCTTGTTTTATAAATCAGGTACTCAACCAAAAAGGGACTTCTTTTGGTGTTGCCCAGATGTCTTTGATTTAGTTTTCTTTTCTAAATCTATTTCAAACCAAGCAGAGCTTCGCATAAATTGTGCAACTCTTTAAAAAGGAAGTGAAATGCAGCAGTTCATCACAGTGCAGGATAAGGATCTCCTAATCTTTCTTACCACTCGACTTCATTCATCGTAATTTAGTTGCTGTCGTTTTTGTGTAATAGTAATGAACACATTTCCAGTGAAGTGTGCCAAAAACTTTGTCCGAACTGTATAAATTTTATTAAAATCTCCACGTTTGGGGATACAAGGTTTCAATTTCATTTTATTCAAAAACATTAAAACAAAAATGTCGTCGTTTCAGACATTTTTAACTAAGGAGATGCTCCAGAATGTTTCCAAAATCTCTGATTATGAGCAATATTTTTATTTTTATCAGTATTTCAAAGTGCAGAAATGAATTTTCTTTTTTTTTTTTTTTTTTTTTTTTACATTTACATACATGATTATGTTTAATATTTATTTAGTATTGATTGGTTGAAATCATTCCCTTATGTGCATTATTTGCTGAAACTGTTGGGGGGAAAAATGATCATTTCTAGATGGTAAATCACGTTTGTTTTTTTTATTAATAGTTTGGAGATCCTGTTATTGTTTTTGTTGCTGTTTTATAATAAACATGCTTCTGATAATTTGATTAAATGAGGTCAAGCATGATTAGAGCTTTTTTTTTATGGAAATGTTTTAAAAATTAACATTTTCTTTCATCATTATAAAAACTATTTTACTTGTAAAAAGTAGCATAACTTTATCATTATGAATAATGGATGTTTAAAAAACATAAAACCAAGACGTGATTCATTTTGTTTCGCAGCTGCCTTCCTGCGTCAGAGTTTTGCCGCGGTTGCCACGCCGACGCCCGCCCAAACCACCGCTGCGCCGCACAAAGAGCCCGGTCGGCCCGACAGGGGGAAGTACAACGTGACCAACAGCAACAACACAGTGTGTTTACTGGCTTACCTGGGCCTCCAGCTCAACATCACCTACAACTCCACCTCCCAGAACAAGGTGCCCACATGTGGCGACGGCTTACGCGAAACCTCTCGGCCGCAGACGGGCAGCGACCTTTAACCCTCTGATTTGTTCACAGGCCGTGCAGGAGGTGGTGAACATCAAGCCCAACGAGACGCTGGCTTCAGGCTCGTGTGAAGCAGACAGGGCCGTGCTGGAGCTGAAGACCGACGCAAATAAAACCGTGCTCACCTTCGTCTTCACTCAGGTGAGTCTCTGCATCATGTTGTACTTCATGCACCTCGCCACTAGATGGCAGCGGGAGCTCGATGTAAACCTGCTCGTGTGGCTGTTTGTCTGCAGAACACGACGTCCAGTATGTACCACCTGAGCGAAGCATCTCTGACCACAAGTGAGCCTCTTCCTCTGCATCTGTCTTGTTGTGCGATAACATTTTTTTACAGTGACGGATACATGCATATATATTTTAATTACTGAATTTGCTCTGTTTAGTTCACAAGAAACAGGTTTTCTAGGTTAGCATTATGAAGATGAATGACAGACTAGATTATCTGTAATACTTAAGTTGAATTCATATCAGTGTTTTTATATAATATTCAGTTTTGGCTCAACTTTCTGCGCTCATTAAATCCAACAAAGTAAAAATCTAATTCCAAAGACAAACTGTATAAAGCATTCAGTCTATATCTCTCATTAAGGGTGGACACTTATCATATTCTTTATTTATCATGATTAATCTTAGTCCAAGCATTTTGATTTGTCGTCACAACAAATTCCAGTTTCTATTGTCCAAAACCCCAGACTTTCTGTATTTGTAGGCTTGTTTTTATTAATTCTTTCAGTTTCTTCAATGACAAAATCAGTGAATATTAATTAAATTGAAAACATCACTAAATGTGGTTACTTTGTGCAGTTTAATGGTACAAATCACACGACATTTAGTGCCCGGTGTCCTAAAACGTTTTACAAATGGATTTGTTTTTAAAGATCCATTTGTGAGGGAATGTTTGCTGTGCTATACAGAAATGGCCATATAGTTTGTTTCTTATGTTTCTACTTTACTGTTCAGTGGTCATGGAAAGTAGGAACCTCAGAAATGAATTTCTGCAGTTTAATGACGCCTCTGTTTTTGGCAGAGGGGAACTTCTCTGCTAAGAACAGCAGCCTGGACTTCCTGCAGGGAACTCTTGGATACTCCTACATGTGCCGCATGGAGCAAACTCTGACTGTGACCCAGAATTTGTCCATCAACACCTTCCAGGTGCAGCTGCAGCCCTTTGGGGTGTCAGGAAACGCTTTTGGAGCAGGTAAAAAAACCCGAGCGACACGCTTACGATCGAAGATCCAACGATGATCCCTGATCTTTAACATCGTGTCGTTCCTTTCTCAGCTGTGGAGTGTCAGCTGGATGAAGACAACATGTTGATCCCCATCATAGTGGGAGCAGCTTTGGCGGGGCTCGTCCTCATCGTGCTCTTGGCCTACCTCATCGGCAGGAAGCGGAGCCACGCCGGCTACCAAACCATCTGAGCTCATGGAGCGGTTACTAGATGCCGCAGGGGGGCTTTCCCCATCCTGAATTTAACCACTCCACCTTTTCCCCCCTCTGTCCCTTCATCCTTTATCTGTGTGTTTACTCTTCTTCTTCGCCTTCATCAGTAACACTAGACATGCGCTTTCTGAGCTGACTTCTTTCATGCTAAAGGGACACCGTTGGGGTATAACGGGGTTCTTAAAACTCTTCACTGGTACCCAGCAAAGCAGGGGATGCATGTTGATCAGAGCGTCGCGCTGCGTTCTTCTATTTATGATTTTTGTGAAGGGAAGTGGGGATCCGAGCAGATTACTTTTCCTTTTCTTGGGTGGCCTTTTTTTTTATTTTTTTTATTGGTATTACCCAAAGTTTGGTTTAAAAAAAGGGAACATTTCTGACAGTTACATTTCATTAAATGCAAACATTTGTAGGTCATAGGAATGGCTTTGTTTGTTTTTTCTGGCCCAATTTAGGGTTTTGTTTGATAAAAGGGAAAGATGTTGCACTGAAATAAATATTTCAAAGTGGCCAAACACTCCTGTCGGTGTTGATCGGTGCCTTCCCAGCCGGGACACGGGTGGGATCCAGTTAAAGCCAATACCACACAGAAACTCCCTCACTCATTCTGTGTGCTGCCATGGAAAGAGACGCACATCTCGCATAGCCTCCATGTACTGTTACAACTAAAACATGCATTGTTACAAGGTAGAATTAAATATTTATACCATTTTTTTTGTTTTGTTTTCCCCTCATCTTAATATACACAGTGATTTAATAATAATGTTTTATTGGATTTGTTTGAACTGTTTTTTTTAAAGGAGAAGTCAATAAAAGTGAATGAAGGAAAGACGTCTGCGTTTCATGTTTCCCCTTTGTCATCGTCGCTGGTCAGACCTGTTCCTGGTCGTTTGAATTCCCTAGAAGTGGAAGTGAAATAACATCAGAGGCTTCACAAAATGTAAATATCAGTGAAAGCAACTGTCGCATAACTATTGTCCAGTGTTCAGAGCAAACCTCGACCAGCATTCAATAAAATTCAAAGCATTAAACCGGTCAGGGTGAATTCATAACTCAATTGCAATGGATGCTTTTGTATTTGAAAAACGGCTAATGATTCTTACTTGATCAAAATTATTGATCGTAGCAATTTTACTTAGCTGGAACAAAAAGTGTGAAAGTTTAGATGGCTTATCAAAAACACAAAAATTAGAACAAGTTTTTAAAAAGGAAGAATATTAATGCATGACTATAAAAGCTTTAAAAATAATCTGTAAAGTGTGATGTGCATTCATCAATGTCTCTCAATCTGCTTTGAACATCTAGAGTTTGACACTCAAGTCTGATTGGATTAAGACTTGAGTGTCAAATTAACTTTAAAAAGTTAATTTTAAAGTCTCTCGATACTTTATTGAGCTTTGGTCTAAACTTTAACGTCTTGCAGATTGAAACCCTGGCTGAAGGTTTGCAGCCTTTAAATGGTTTTCTTCCAGTATTTAGCTCCATCCAGCTCTGAGCAGCTTCCCCATCCCTATGACTTTAGGGTATTGGAGTAAAGATGTTTGCAACTATTTCCTGTTTGTGCGTCAACTTCATTGTGCTCCTCTGCCAGAAAGAGACCCAACAAAATGGATGAATTGTTTGTAAAGCTTTAAGCATAATAGTACTTCTCATAATTCTCTGTGCTTAAATTGGTCAAGTTAGGTGGCGATTATGTGGCTCAGTGCACAACATGTTGTGCACACCAAAAGGCTGGTGTTTTCTTTCCATGTTGGATACAAAAAACTAAATCTGACATAAAAAGTGAGCAATATTTTTACATCCTTGTTTTTTGTCCAGTAGAATTAGCCTTTTAAAAATTAGTTTCTGAACCTTCATCTCCATAGTTAGATGTTGCAACCCTTCAGAGGTCATGTACCTGTTACTAAATCTAAAACAAGATTTAATTGAGCTCAGAAATTAACTGCTGAGATCTCACAATTTTCTGAAGACTTTGGGTTAAAGGTGTTTTGAACTGTGAAAATTACAGATTTGGAGCAAATTACATTCTGACTTCCAGCTAAATCAGACCCTTCATGACCTCTTTTCTGTTATTAATAACGGCTGAAACAAATTGAGTGTACACATCTCACAGAAGTCAAGCTGTATAATTTCACTTTATCGGCTCGACTCAGGAGACAGAAAAGTCTTCATGGGAACATTTGGACAAAAATGTGGCAACAATACAAGTCTGAAAATAACGCCAGGGAATCTAATACGTTTTGCAAATAATAAAAATAAACTCCACCGTATGAAAAGCAGAAAGGTTCTTCAGGTAAAACCTAAAGGAAAGGCTCAGAAAGTTTACACCCAGGTTGCTGAATTACAATGTAATAAATCTTTGTATCTCACAGTCTCAGAAATCAGCCAAAGGCTCTGCTAATATATTCAGCAGGAAGTAAAACAGGGCTTCTTTCTTCTGTTTTATTGCCTCGAGGCACACGCACTCAGGTTTGCATAGATTGCTTTATAATTTGAAACAAGTTAGGAAGATGAAATTGGTGGGGAGGAGACTAGACCTCAGGGCTGTCGGGATTCCTCCTCCAAGATTTGTCTTCTGCATTTCTCTCTCAGTTTATCAACAGTCGTCATCGACAGCGTCCCGGGTTCTGTGAATATTTTCTGCAGAAAAAAAAAAACATCAAAAAGAAAAAATTTTCTTTGCTAGCATAACGTGTATTTAAATAGATAAACTAACTGGACTGATGTTGCGCTTGTGCCCTTGACCTTCTCGCCTCACCTGCATGAAGGTGTGACAGTCGAGCGTGAAAGACCCACACGTCATCTGCTTGAAGCACTCGCACACGTCGGGCAGCGAGCGCGCTCTCAGCAGCTCCGTCTGGTGGTGGAGGATCAGAGTCAGAGCAACTCTGAAGAGAACCTTGGAGCCCTCGTAGAAAAGGCAATCCCAGATCCTCAGAACCGTCTGGAAGAGAGAGGAACGTGGAGGATTCCTGTGTGATGATCAACCTGAGGTCCTAACGTCGATTCTGCGGTCAGGCCGGTACTTTTCCTTACCTCTATGGGGAGGATGTCAATATAGAGGCAGATGAACCAGCGCGACACCACCAGTGTCCATATGCCAGGATACTGAGCCATGAGCTGTCCCACGGCGGGGGCTTTGGTCTTCACCAGCTCCCCAAGAACCTCCTGGTCCGTCTTCAATCCCAGCATGGCTGGGCTGTAGTAGTCTGAAGGATTCCAGCAGCACATTTACATTATTGTTAATCTTTTAGATGTACGTCTACAAACAAATGACAGAAACCTTGCAATTCAAGTACGTTCTCACTAAAAGCAGACCGCAGTATGCTAAACGAAGTCTCCAGCAGATCTTTTTTTAGATACTGTTGGCATAAACGCGGCATCAGGAACGCCCTGAACATGTTTAACTAGGACGCTTGATATCGACGTCATACCAGGGAAATAATCTCACACCTAAGTGTGACGCACGGAGGTGGAAGTGCCACAGTTTGTCCGTACAATCCACCATGAATTCAAACCGATCAGCCGGATGTGCACAGGGCTTGGTGTCCCTCTGGATGAGTGGATCTTTCTTTGTCAATAAATGCACCTGGGAGTATTCTGCCCAGCAACGCATCCATGAGCCAGAAGGATGTCTCTTCATCCTTGGTGATGATGATGAGGTAGCCTGCAATGAAGTTCATCCCCTGGGAAAGACAAAGCAAATGAAATGTTCAACTGATAAATCCAGAAAAAGTAAATAATTCGATTGTTTTCCATTTTAAATATATATGTATATCTAAAATCTTATTTAAAGGTGATCAAATAACTTAAGAACATAAGTACATGGAGAGACCACTGCACTGAAGCTCCAAATACTGACTTCTGAATCCTTCCTGAGTCAAAATTTTAGTATTAACTGAATGAATATTAACTTGTTTTCTTTGCACTATTTGCAGTCTGAATCTTTTTTTTTTTGTTGTTATTTTTGACCATTTGTCATTTTCTGCAAACAAATACTAAATTGTTGCTTGGAATTTCGGAGACATAACAATGTTCATTTTACTCAAACTTACACCTATTAAAAGTAAAATCAGAGAAACTCTTAATTTTTTTCCAGAGCTGTATGTGGAAAAGTTGAGAATGCCGTCAAGTGCTGAAAATGTCGGAGGTTAACATTTGAATCTGTTCAGTTAAACTTAAAAAAAAATAAAAATAAGGCTACTAAACAGTTCCTATTTAAAGTAGCTGGACAATAAGCTGCTGATTTTTGTGTCCCTAAAATATAGCGGCCAGCCAAGAAGCCTTTTTCAGGCTGAACAAACAATTTGGCTCATTAGACAGATAAATACGCAGCAAGAAAATATCAAGTCGTAAAAAAACAAACTCTGAGACGAAATGAAGACACACCTGCATGAATGTAAATACTGAGGGTGTGTCTTAAGATGCAAACCACTGGCAGCAGTCAAGAACAAGACATATTTACAAAGGAAGATCTTCAGGGAGTTATGAAACAATGTTTTTCAAAGAGTGAAGAACTTTGGAGGCAGTAGGGAGGCACAGTTGAAAGAATACATTTTAGATAATGGCTACTTCTTCAGATCCTCACATCCTGTACAACGGAGGTGAGAGGAGAGTGGAGCGTTTTGCCCACCTGACAGTATCCCACGGTCTGGTTGTGGTGTCCGTACGCCAGCAACACGTTGAACAGAACCTTCTGCAGACCCTCCTCCGCTCGGCTCTTGAAGAGGATGTTGTCAGGAAAGGTCCGGTGCATGTCTGCCCACAAGGCAGAATATCACCGGTGTTGGATTTGAGCTATAAAATTGGCTGATTTCTTTCTCTAAATCGGGAGTCAAACTCGCTTTTGTTTTGGGCCCAATCAAGATCATAAATGCTCTCAAAGGGCTGGTTGATAAAACCCGTTCAAATTATGCTGTTAAAATATCAACGGATTCTTAAAATTCAATTTCAGTTCCTCCAGGATTTTGTGATTCGTTTTGTGTTTGTGGCACTAATTTGAAAATATTTGCGATATTTGCACTTATTCGTGACGGTGAATGCGGCTTTTTATTGCTCTCTGTACATATCTTGAACTATAATCTGACATAGATTAAGGCAGAGGCAGCTGCCTTAACCTGTCTTGCTTAAGTACAAGCAAGCCAGTTTTTGACAATTTTTGAGATAAATCTACAATAAACTCCCAAATGGAGGCACAATTTGTTGCTTTTGCATGAATTTCCACAATAATTCTCAAGAAACTGGAGGGACTGATTGATATAATTTGGCAGTAAAGAGTTAAAAACAGAATCAATTTGATTGACAACTTAATACTTCAGCACACTAGAATCTAGAGGGCCGCATAAAAAGCTGTTGAATTTGACATATGTGCTTTAAATGATGATTTTGAGTGCATAAAGTCGGATGGTCACACCTGTGTGAATGGTCTCTTTGAGCTTGGCGTCGTGCTCCATGGCTAATAGAGACTGGTAGTAACCTGGCTTGCTCTCCATTTGTTCCTGAGCACCGCTCGCTGCCATCCAGATCCTGGCTCGGTGCTCATTGGGAACACCTTTACGCACAAATCTTTTCACTTGAAAGAAAATATCCAAAAGTAGGTTTTCAGAGGTCGCAGTGACTGGCAATAGCATCTTTATGTCATGTTACAACCACAAACTTCAACGTATTTTATCTTGATTTTATTTGACAGACCAAAACAAAAAGTTGGTCTGAAAAGAGGTGTAATTCACAAGCATTCATCCTCATCTATTCTGACACCTTAAATAAAATCCGCTGCAATCCAGTGCTCTGAAAAGTCCCTCCATTTACAAAATAGAGGGACTTATTTAAATCTTGGTATTGTGTCTGTTTGCATACCATACTCTACATGTGGCCAAAAGCTTATAAAACAAAACACTGGACATCATCCTGAACCCACCGTGCTTCCCTAACAAGAAGCACGGTGGTAGCAGCATCATGCTGTTGAGTTCTTCAGGGACTGGGAATCTGGTTGGAGTTGATGGGAAGATAAATGGAGCATTCTGGAAAAAAAACTGTTAAAAAACCTCTTCCAGCTGGGCAATGACCTTGACCTTACAGCTAGTGCTGCAATGAGACGATTCAGATCAAAACGTGTTCATGTGTTGGAACGGCCCAGTCAAAGTATTGAGCGAAGGGACTAAACTCAATAGGCCCTTAACTCAAGTGTAGACTTGGTTGGTCTATCACATGAAATCTCGATTAAATGCATTGAGGTTTGGGGCAGTTTCGTGGCAGGGCGGTGTGAGCGCTTGTGTGAAGGACTGTACATCACACATTGTGTGAATTGATGTTTGTACCCGTCAGGTTCTTCTCCACGTTGGGTTTGTCTTCCAGGAGCTTGGACCACCTCATCGACCTTCTGTTGAGGACAGTCACGTACTCGTTCATCATCTCTTTGTAGGAATCGTAATCGTGCCGCCTTTCGAAGCCGTAGGGGTCGATCCTGCGGGGGCGAACACAATCCCTCTCTCATCAATGCACAAAGCCGATGGAAAAAGCCAGACCCTTGACCCCTCTTCCTTTATGTGTCTTCCTGCTGTACAGCCAACTCCCCTGGCTGCCTCCACTGGGTTGGGTTGCTGCAGCCAGGTGATCGAATGCCCCGGCTGGATGAATGGTTAAGTATTAAATTACACCCGAGTGGAATCGGGAGCAGTCTGTGCTCTTTAATAAACACCACAGCTTCTGTTTCTAATGCTGGCCTGATGGATTAAAAGAGAACAACAATGATCTGAAGAGGAAGAAGGTGATGCAAATAGGCCGATTGTGTAAGGTCACCCATGAGGAAGCAGCAGGCGCTGAGGCACTCCCCGATCTAATAACGAGAATACATTAGAAACGTTTACCTGTCAGTGTCTTTGCAGCAACCTGGAGGCTGAGCTGCATCTCCTTTGGTTTCTCTGTCCATTGTGAGACAGCTCCGGTCGTCCACTGAACGTACAAACAACCTCCAACATGAAGGTTACTCCATCCCCAACGTCCAGAGAGCAACAAGCTGCTGTGAGGGTAAATAACAAAGCAGCCCGAGTTTTCAGTGGCTCACCTTACAGCTCGCCCAGAGAGGAGTGGCCGTACCGCAGAGGTAACATCCGCACAGGTGCACAACTTTTATTTGCACACAAAACAAACGGAGGGAGAGAAGCTCCTCCTAACGTGACGATTTCTTGTGAACAGAGGCTGCAGTTCAATGTTGTCTGTTTGGACGATGAAAATGAGAACGTGGCAGACACACAGATCCTGGGATCCGAACTCAGGTTTAGAAAACAACAAAAAGTCTGAAACTTATTCCCTGAAGATTTCATACTAGCAAACAATACAATTTCAATTGGTTACATAATAGGATTATATACAAATTTAACACAAAATCCTGCTTCCAATTGCTTCTGGAGTCTCAAACTTAATTAGCGGTGAAAAATCAGCACTTATCTGCAAATCTAGAATACTTTAAGTAGAACCTGAGGGATTCAGTGGCAGCAGTGGCAATGCTTTCAACCACATGTTATAAATATGGCCAAATTAAGAAAATTGTCCAAAAACTTCAGAAACACATTTGTAGCAACACCTATTACAAGAAATTTTAGCTTTAGTTTTAAAAACACTCATATGATCTTGAACACAACCCTGCATTGTGTTTGAATTGGAATAAAAAGTGTCAAATTTGTCATGCTGCTGTATGAAGACAGGCTGCATCTTTTTGTCCTTTCCCCATACCGTTTAACTTCCTGCCAACATGGAGAGTAAATCACAATAATCTGTACACTGTCCATAATAATGGACAGTGTAATAATGGCATTAGTCACAAAAGAGGTCAGACTGCTCTGCTTCTGGAGCCACTTCAAGCATTAGAACCCAAGTGATCTTCATAGCTGCAGACAGAGAGTCTGCATAGGGCAGCATGGGACAAAGTTACATTCCAAGTGAGTCACTGTGAAGACATTTGAACAGTATTGATGTTAATTCCAAAACCATATGATATTCTGTCATATTTTTGACTTATAAAAATCAACAACAGCGTGAAACAGCTTATTGTCTGATTACATACACAACTGTTTTGGACATGTAGAAAATGATACTAAACCAATATTTACTTAAAGCAGCACATCCTAATAAGTAAGTGAAGGCAAACATACAGTATATGTTCCTGAAGTTCTGCGCAAACTTCGATAAAAAATTTTTTATAGACTCAGAATATTGTATTTGACTCATTGGTGTAAAGCTATGCGACTTTACACTAACTTTAAAGCATAAATAGTGGTGAAATTATAAAATAGTTTGCATTCAAACAAAGAACTCATAGGTCACTGAAAAAGCAATTAAAAGGTTGCTAATAACTCAAAAAAAGTTGCAAATTATGAACAACTTCTGATTATTGGACCTGGACAGTAAGAAAATATCCGTAAAATAGATTGAAATATCGTCTATAATCAGTCTAATAAATTAATGAGTCCTTTAACAATCCCCAATGAGACAAGAAGAGTTGCTAGTGCAAAACAAAATCAATATCTGATATCTTGAATTAATTAACTAAAGGTAAATGAGTGTAATAAAGGTGTTTGGAGTAAAAAAATAAAATAAAATAAATGAATCAATATTTTAACCCATATTTATACAAATTAATAGAGCAGCTCCTTTAAGGCAGTCATAGCTTCCCAATAAATTATAGTGCCCAATATACATTTTATTTAAGAATAAAATAAAGCATCACCCAGCTCTTATAAGAAAAAAAAAAGACACAAAGAGGACAAGCAGCAACTTCATCAAAACATCAAGAACAAATGAGCTCTAGTTTAAGACACATGGTTGTCTTCTTCTACCGCAGACCAGTGGCACAAGGTGTCCTGCAACGTGAGTTTGGTTAATGGACAAGCTCATCTGGCTCATGGCAAATAATAATTTTTAAAAAATTAAATACTTTTCACAACTGCATCACCATATTTCTGCTTTATACTTTGCTGCACAGCTGTATTCTGGGACATTTCCATGATGAGTCTCGTCAAACAAATAAGCTAAATACATCTAGGATTATGGGAAAACTCATGCTTTATACTCTCTGAGATGAGCGATATACTTAGGCTACAAAAACGATGCATCGACAACACAGTCTGATGTTCACTACCTGCAGTAACGCTGAAACAGATCGTTTGGGACAGGTACAGAAAGATCAGACAGGCATTTACTCTTAAGGCTTACTCTGTTGTCCTGTCGTCGCTTTCTCAACTTCTGAAGAAAAGAAAAAAAAAAAAAAACTCCTCGCTGCCAAAACACAGATTTATGTCATGCAATCCTACAGGTTGAGCGTTTCTTAACTGTAAAGTTTGAAAATTAGGTTTTAGAGTGACAAAGACTACAGTCGGGGTCGTCTGTTAAAAATAATCTTAAAGAAGTCTTTCCAAGACTGGTTTCTGTTTTTCTTAAAGAAACAGTGGAAAAAATCAGACTACATTATATTTACAAGTAGGCATGGGCCGGTATGAGATTCTCACAGTATTTTTATTTATTATTGAGTGAAGTCGTAACGGTTTTAGTACAAATTTAAAACTGAAGATTTGAGATGTTCTACTTGCTTTTATTCCAAACAATCCCTGCAGTGTTTGCCAGGTGTAGTTTGAAAACATCTTGAGCTCGCCTACGACTGAGAATATTTCAAGTAGGGAAAACAGTCACATTGGTATTTTAATGTCCGCATGAATAAAATGTAGTTGAATTTTTTTAGCCAACTGACCAGCAGTGCTCAGCAACAGAATTGGGATTTGCTTTACCCCAAATATATAATTTGCAACCCAAACTTTTGCCACAAATTAGTATTTTTCTGTAAGATAAAAAATAATAATAATAAAATTGCCTTTTTTTTAGCCATCTGACCAGCAGTGTGCAGTAACATTGTGGGGAGGCGAGCATGGCCAAAGACTGCATTACTCTACGTTTTTCGAGACCAGAAATATTTGCAGATGGTCAAATTATGCTTTTTGTAAAGCATGAGAAAAATGCAGCAGGCTTTTCTTTAGCTAGATGAGACAATTGCCCAGAAAAAGGTGGGGGAGGGGCTACACTGCAGTGTGTGTGCTATATATATGTAAACATATGTTTTGTACAAATACTTAAAAGCAGTAGAATTAGTCTTTCTAAGCATTAGAAATAAGGAACAGACTTTTTAATTCTTTTTTAGCCTGCTGCTAAGTAGTGTTCAGCAACAGGTGGGAGAGGGGCCAGTCTACATTAATTTGTGTTGGACACACCTGGAGAAAACTCCTCACTTGGATACTTTTTCTGGCACCTCAAATGTCTTTACAAAATAACAATGAAAAATAAATTGCAGACATAAAGTTTTGAACCTGAAACATTTCAGAATCTCGTTACGCCTCGACACCCGGCCCATGCCTACGTACGACCACTCGGAACCGAAATTATTCAGACAAATGAACGAGTATCAGTTATCTAAATTAAAGCACTGCCTTTACTTTAGTGAAACTTTATTTCTGAAACCAGCCTGAAGTGACGCAAAATGATTTTAGAACATGCTTTCAATGAGCTCACAACGCCATGACTGGACATCCACCGAACAACTAAACCAACAGCATTATTATCCGTAATATTGAGGCATCACCGTTTAGAGATCTGAGCATTTACTGTACATAAAACAATCATCTTTTTGCATTTATAAATTGAACATAATTATATTATTCTTCTTATAGCTCTCTTTGTTATCTGTCCCATTAGATACAGTATGTACAGTTAAAAACTGCAACAGTTCTGTTGGTGCTGGTGTCGCGAGCACTCTGTCCCAAAGCTGGAGTTAAGACATGGGATGTTTGCACAGTCACGCAGAGCTTCAAATACCAAAACAAAGATGACCTGGAAGAATCTTAAAGCACACAGCTCTCTTCTGTCCTGTCCGTTTAAAGAACGCACAGCGGGTGAACCTCGTCTCGGTGCCGCGTCCTCGTTGGCCCAGTGGTGAGGCTGTGGCGCTCCTCCCGGAGCAGAGCGGAGGGAACCTCCGGGACGCTGAGACACTGGCGATGTCCGTACGGCGCCTCAGTCTCGAGGAGACCGAAAATGTGGCCAGTTGTTTCTCAACTCAGCTCCCTGAAAGACGGCTTCAAGTGCTTCCGTTTTCTCTTCTGAAGTCTACAGTTTTTCCACTTTTCTTTTTGTACAAGTCTTAAAAAAAACTATGATGTCGCTGTAAAAGAAACAATGTTCTGGCTTTCCAGGGTTGGGATCGGATTTAGAGAGTTTTACGTTTGGATCCTGTAACAATTGGTCGAGCGAATTCCACAAAATCATCTATAAGGACCGGCCATGCACCTTAAGAGAGAGCAGAGATAAAACGCTAAATAACTAGTGATGGAGCAGAGAAAATAGAGGCTTTGTGTGTCTTGTCACTAAAGACTCACCTTCCTCATCATAGTTAGACATGTCATCTGCAATCATGTTACCAAAGTCCAACAATAAGTTCCACGTGTCCTTTGGGATGGATCGTTTATGATGTTCCTGTAACAGACAAAAGCTGATGAAAACACAGCTAAACGTGTCGGTTCGCACCTCGTTTTCCCCTCGTCTTTAAAAACAAATACATCTTCATATCACAACAGAGCACACGTCTTTGAAGCAGTATGTTACTTATGGACCAACTAGTCGAATTAAAACCAACAAACATTTTATTCCAATCCATCCGGTTTATCTCTTTGGTTCCAAAAGTGGGACATTTAAAGCAAAATTGGACTTGTTAACATGTCAGATTTCTAGATTTTTAGTTAGCATTGCTTTAAACAAACATGCCAACTTTTTTGGGGTTTTTTTTTTTGTCCTTTTTATAACCAGCGGTGCTGTCAGGACACTTTCCACGTCAGGTAATAACTTCCTGTCTAACAGCACATTAGGACAGCCTCCGACGGACATCCTGCATTTTTCTCTGAACTCTTCCCACCAAGTAAAGGCGCTCATGTCTACCAGACTACAGTTAATTATGGGGCTTTTTAATCCTTCTCAAACACCTGAACACAATGGTTCTCCAGGAATTTTAAGTTGCTCTTCCCCTCATCAGCCTTAGCTTAATGTTTTGAGACATTTTTAATTAAAAAAAAAAAAAGAAGATGCTGAAATTATTTCAAATCTACATAAAGTTTAAACCCTAAACGATGAGAGTTAAGTCTTTGTGAACAAGCTCTACATTAGTCAACGGCTTCCTCATGAAAGGTTTTGAACAAAAAAAACCCCACAGACTAATGAAATATTTACCCATATTTCATCTGTTAGACTTTTTCTACATTTGCTTCTTGAGATCCAACGGTTTCCGGCCCAAATTCAGCTACTGCCAAGGTGCATGAAGTCCTGATGAGGTGAAGACTGCAGTAGTCAGAGTTATGGATTCTGGGATGAACTGCCTGGACTACAACAAATGTTATTTAACCAAGATGTAGTCTGGCTCTCTGTCTGTCTACGTTTGATGTTGGCAGGTAAAGCAGTAATAACGTAAGCAAGTTGGTGAGGAACTACAAGTTCTAAGTTACCTACAGTGCTTTCAGTAAACCTTCTAAAGATGGAGTTTTTTCCAGTAGCTGGATAGACGACCGATTATCTGCATGTGTGTTTGCTTTACCACATTGCCACTTCCTTTTCTTCTAAACGCTTTCCCATTAAGTTGTTGCAACAAACAAATACTTAATGGGAAGAAAATTGAAGGCTCGTCTACTCTGGACAAAAGATACTGAAATAATTCAATAACGTTGGAGAACTTTGTAAGCAGAAAGCGTTTCCCATAAGATGCTCCATACCTGAATTGTGCACACTACTAGCACTTGGTTAATGCACAATTTTTATTTTGTTTCCTTCAAATATGTATTTCAGCTTTGTTGAGGAAATAAAATGAATAAAAATGAGAACATTTCTGGTGATCTTAGGTTTTAAAAAGGTAAATGTTTAGTACTTTTGTGCTTATGATTTTGACCCACATGACAAAACGTATGGACACCTCTTGCTTAAGATGTTAGGACTTAAGCAAGGACAAACCCACAGATTGAACCTCTAATGATGGATTGTGTCCAGTTTCTTATCTTTCAAATGAAAGCTGAACTCAACCCATTAAGTAATTTCAGTTCAGTGATGTAATGCACAAAAGCCAGAGATTGCACAGGCTTTCAAACCGGATTGTTATGGGGTATGAATGATGGGATATAAATTACTGGCACCACTTTCACTCACCAAAAGAAATCTATTCCAAAGATCAAGGAACTTAAAACGTCCTGACAGAACCAGGTTCCAGTAGGCTACAGCCATCTCCAAATCTGCAACAAGAGGAACAGCTCAGATTTTTATCTGTTCAAAATGACACCTTGTCTGTTGACATTTAACCTACCAAGACCTTTCTGTCCAGGATTTTTGGCAAAGTTAAAAGTGAACTGATAGAAGTCTTTGAACTTCCCGCTGTCTTTTAGCTCCTGCTCTAATCTTGGCAAAAGGGCTTTCAGTTTTTCTGGACTGTCGCACCTAAAAGAAAAACAAAAAACAGTCCAGTTACGTCAAAAATAATCACAGGCTGGCATAGCCCAGCCAGTCGTGACAGGACCGCCTGGATGCTGAAGACAGACTCGGAGACACAGAGCCTTAAAAGTCAAAACATTGCAACTTTCTCATTGAGTCATCACACGAAGACACAGAATACCCTGGCTGTGGGCGGATCTATATTTAGCCGGCCTTCCCTCCCTTGGAGCTACAGCAGGAGAGCCACCAGGAGATGAAACTCAGAGTGCAAAGCAGGCTGCTGATAAAAAAAAAAAACACTCACCCCAGTTCTGTCATTCCATCCATGAACTCCTTCTTGGTGAATTCGCACTGAGTGGCGGCGTGAAACTTCCACGCAACGACCAGCACGGTGATGCTGGCCGGGTCCAACGAGAGGTCGTCACAAAACTGCTGGATCCCATCAATGCCGATCTTATTTTCATCCTGGGGATCTACCGAAACAAAGAGCTGGGCGACTTTCTCCGTTTTGGATAAAACAAAAGCACAACTATGTGAAGCTTTCTACGTCAACCTGAGACAGTGATGCAGATTTACAAAAAGCTTTACTATGTTATGTCACAACCAAAACCTCCGACCAACACAACTTAGCAACATCAAAATATAGTGGAACGTAAGCTATAGACCATCTGGAAACTTTTCAACAAATAAAAATCAGAAGTTTAGCTGGGATTTGCATTCAGCCCCAAAACGCCTTTAGCTGCAAAAACAGCTGCAACTCCTTTCCTGTATGATTCCAATTTATCCGACTAGGAATAAGACATTTTTGCAAAATCACTCAAGCTTAGTCAGACTGCTGGATAAATATGCCTGAGCTTCAATGCTTGATTCTTGCAGCTGATTTGGACTTTGATTGGGCCATTCTAACACATGAATATGCTTTGACCTATAACAGAGCTGCACAACATATCAAATTTCAACTTTCCTTTCCAATAATACACTTGGCCAGTAGGATGGACTTGTATTTTATGCCTATAACGGATATAGATTTGCATTCCCCAAATCTGAAAGCTCAGATAGAGGGGCTTGGACATTATGATGATAGAAAATAACTTCTCTTCATTGCAATATTATACAACAACACTACAAGTGGCTTGTGGTAGAGGGGTCTTCTTGTAACTTTCTGAGGGCCACTCTTCCATAGAAGCCAGATTTGTGGAGTCTGTGACTAATATTTGTTGAGGTCCTCCCACCTGATTCGTGGATATGTGCAGCTCATCCAGAGTTATCATAGGAATCTTGAATTTTTCTGTCGTTAATGGCAAGTTGCCATCCTACCAAGTGGACATGCCTTGGTAGCTTGACATTTACAACCATTCCCTACTTTTAACCACTCCTATACGGTACCTGCTGTGTTCCTAGGTCTTCATTAAGCTGTTTGTAATCTAATTTTCTCAAACAAACCTCTAAACTCTTCACAGAACAACCGGAGTGATCCCAAGGTTATGATAAATGATTAATTAGGTGACCTCTGAAGGTAAAAACAGTAATGAAAGCTAATTGCAAATACAAACCTCAATTCACTGAACATCTATTTCTTTTCTACTACATAATTATTTCCTACTTTGTGTTGGTCCATCACATAAAATCCCAATGACATACATTGACGTTTGTGGTTATAATAAAAAAGTTTAATGGGTATAAATACTTTTAAAGAACTGCGGAAACAGCATGCAGAGCAGGATGTGAGTTATCGAGCCTTACCTTTGTAACGATTGTAGAGCTGCTCCAGCTTTTTCCGGTCCACCGAGGTTTTCATGGATTCCTTACAGTAAAGCTCTGGATTTTGAAAATAGTTGTCCGTCGCAACTTCTAGTTTCCAGTCATTTTGCGTGAGGCAGTACACGGCCGTCTTCTCCCCAGCCTGTGTGAAGGACATGAACTGCCGTACCTTGTCCCTCTGTGAAGACTTCAGCTTATGCTGCGCAGACACGGGACAGGGGTGGTCAGAGACAAGCGGCATCAGACCAGGCAAAGCAGAAACCAACGCACAAACACACCGAGACACAAGAATGAAAACAAACAGCGAGATGCAAACATTAAAACACATTCAGGAGGCAAGAAATCGCTCAGAAACCCATACGTCCAACACCGTCAGTAACCCCAACAAACAAGAGTTTAACAGGATGGTAATTGTACGCTGTGTGAGAGCAACACAAGCTCTTCTGAAGAGGGATGTTGTGGGTACTCAGAGCACATGCTGTACCCCTAAGGGCCCCACAGATAACTACAGTCACAGACGTAACATGAGGATGGAAATAAGATGCCATCGCGACAAGCCAGAGGTGCAACAAGTCTGGAGTGTAACGCAAGCACTGTGCCGAAAATACTGAGAAATATAAAAATAAATAATTCAATCAAAACAGGAGAGACTTTAACTTTCAGCCAGCTCCAACCAATCACATATAAGTAAAGAATACTGAAACATAAAAGTGATATAACACTAGTTTGTAGGAATCTATGAGGCCCAGAAGCTTTCATAATACCTTAAGCAAAGCTGCACACGACAATCTTGTTTCCAAACACTCTGGTTCAAAACCAAGTGAAAACTATTAGCATTCTGCAGCCAGTTTAAAGTCTTTCTAATGGGATATTAAGGTGCTGGAGAAAAGACTGGTTTGACAGCAAAGTTCTTCAGCTGTTCGGACTATAGTACTCAGTAAAAAGCGTTGCCTTTTGGCCACCTGTTGCTGTGCAATGTTTGACAGCTGGCTGAAGAAAAGACAACTAAATATTTCTCGTGCAGAAAAACCCAAATCGGCTGTCACTCCAATAAAACACACAGTTAGAAAGTCATTAGCTGAAAGCTGATTTAGATAAAAACAGTTAGCCCTTTTTTGTTAAAAAAAATATTTAGGTTGTTATCTGGATATATAACAACCTATTTTTTTTGTTTTACATGAAGTTACCATATAGTGACAACAGTCCCAGTTCAAGGTTTCCAATTGACTGAATTATAGATTAAATCAGCTGTAGTGCTACTGCTCATTTAGGTAATTTATCAAATTTAGCTTGGGAGCTTGGATGTGCTGATTATCTCTTTATGTTTCCATTTCAGATGAAAGATAAGCAAACGCGTCTGGGTTTTGAACGCGTCTGGGTTTTGAACCTAAGGGCTGAACACACATATGCATCCGTAGAAATATCCGTAGGTTGCATAAAATTGCACTATGATTTTTGTTTCCCTTAATATTTCTAACTTTAAATTATAAAGCAAACTGGTCCAACTGAAGGGGAAAATCTCGACCAGCTGCATCATCTGGACACTTCTCTGCAGAGCAGCATTTCCTCGAAGCGAAGGCTAAAGGTTGAGTTCAACGAGCTGCTGTTGACCCGCCTGACATTTTTACTGATTTCTGCCATTAATCACGCGTGGATTGAGATGGATGTTCCGTTTGCCTTTACAGACAAACCTGGTCATCGCTGGGAAACATTTGGGTTAGCTTTGTCTACATCCCAGCTAGTAACTTGCACTGGCTAACGCTAGCTGAGTTAGCCAGAATGTACTGACAACCATCATGAGAATATATCCTCCGCACTGAAGTGTCAGTGCTGTTATGAACAGGCCGAGATTTTAGTGAGACGACCCCGTCCGTGTTTGAGGTCCAGCGGTTGACCTTCTTACAGCCGAAGTTACCAGACTGCCAAAAAGGGACGTGTGGCTAATGCTGCTAGCTGCTCTCAAAATATCAACTGACCTTCCCTGAAACAGCAGCGAAAACAATTAACTGAGCACTGTGAGCCTCACAAAACGCGACACATCATGCGCTTCGACATTATCCCACCAGTCTTGATAGATAAGCCTTCATGGCACAAAAGCCAGTGCCTGGGTTTGTGTTTATTTTGGTTACCTACCATTTTTACACCCGCTGTTTGACCAGTTTAGTAGCCCGTCTGTTGCTCCGCGTGCGCATGCGCGAAGGAAGTAGCTGAGCAGAAAGTCGAGGTTTGCAGCATTTGTTCTTGTGTGAGTTGCTTTATTTCAGGGACCAAATGAAGATCCTTTCAGATCTAAACTGAAAGGAAAAAAATAAGGCAGCTTGTGTGACAATTCCAATATTTCTAATTCATTATTTGGTGTACATCCTGCTGTAAAACGTGACTTACAAAAAGAAACAACTTAAATTCTTACCCTGACAAACCTTCCACCTGCTTATCTTTGCAGGGTCATGGGGGACTGGTGCCTATCTGCAGCAGTCATTGGGGAGAGGTGCGGTACCAGGCCACAACCCATCATATTTAATAAAAATAAAAATAATCTAAGTATTTGTGCGTGGACATTTTCCCAAAGTCGGTCCTCGAGGCCTGGCATCCTGCACGTTTTAGTCCTCTCCCTGGTGGTAGTAAAGACCTTTTCATCATGTAGGGGTTCTTCTTAAGCCATCTAATGAGCCATCATTGGATCCAGGTGCGTTAAACCAGGGAGCGAACTAAAACATGCAGGACGCTGGCCCTCACGGACCGACTCTGAGCACCCCTGTCCTAGAAGGAAAGGGGATCAAGGAAAAGTACTAGTCTTATTTAGATCACATTTGTCTCACAGATTCCAGTTTGTTCATGTTAATGATAAACCTTCACAAACTAAGGCTATTTGCAGAGTTCAAAGTTTGAGCCAATTATGCTACACACACGCACTTACACAATTATGATAAAACAGACACACATATAAATGTTTTATCTTAGGAAAATGATCAGACCACATCATGGAATGACTTTCCAGTGTACTGCTGAGAATACAAAGCTCTGTTTTTCTACTAGACTACTAAAGTCCAACCATCTTGAAGCCATTGAAGACTAGAGAACTTTTAAATGCTATGCTTTTAAACTCAGACGAGGCAGAGGTTGTCATTTTTCAACCAGTACATCAAGGAGAAAAAACCCCAAATTATTAGATATGTTTCTGTCCAGGGTGTAAGATGTGACGGATCACTGTTCAATCCATCATCTGAAAATGGAAAGAGTCAACAACTTAGGTGGAACAATGCCATTTTATGACAATTAAAAAAAATTTTCTCCATAAATGGAAGTGTGGCAAGAAGGAAGAAAGAAACCCATGTGGGAGGACTGTTTTTTTCTGATGCCAAATTATGCTCTCAAAAGATGCAAGTACTACTAATTTCAAAGAAAAAAGTCAGTCGAACATTATTCATCCATAATTTATACCCTATAATCAGTGGACACTTATTATTGGAACAATGAACAAATCCTTTTTTAAGGATTAAAGTATTTTGATGCATGTTCCCTTAGTTTTCTCTTTTTTATTGATCAACCACCACACATGCCCTCACCTTGTCAAAAATGCACCTTTATTATTTCCAAATGCATTAACACAAAAACCTAAAAAATAGCATGCAGACTAAACACAATTTGTACCCAAATTTGATCATTTATAGTGCAAGGTTAGCTGGCTGGTTGACACGTGACGAGTCCTGCCTAAACACTCGTGATAATCTAAAAGTTATGGTATTCCTCCTCAACCAAGTTTTTTACTTCAATAATTTGAAAGAAACAAAACAGAAACATGTGAACCAAAGCTAGATCTAGAAACCAAAACTAAGATCATGAGTTTCCTCCAAAGCTTTTATTTTAGTGGTTGGCTTACATTTTATTTTGAATTAATATATCAAACTGATATAATCACTGTGAAATATATAAAGATAAATAATAACTTTTGTCTTGTTTTGAGTTTTTTTTCCAAAATGGATGGTATAATATGACCTTTATATAAGGTTTTGACCTTTTATGACCTTTTTCCTTATTATTATGCTTAATAAGGAAAAAGGCATTGGGAGACTAACATTTTGTCAACAATGAAACATGAGTTCTTGTTATTATGGATAAAAAGTTACAGAGTACATCTCATTTTTTGAGCTGTCTAAAATATCGCTTTGAGCTGAGCGGACAGAAGGCACAGCTCGGTTTTATCTCATGCAAAAATGAATCCACCCTGCCACAAGTGTTATGAACACACCACACAGCAGTGCCACTGATACTGTATCTGTGGACATCAGCTTCCTTTTTGCCACCACTGTCATTTTATAGTGAAAGGAGTGTAAAATAGACAGTCATGCACTGTTGTGATATTTTGTATGCACTATCAATGTCCCGTACAAGCATGGTAGCTTTCAAAGGCTTTCGATTATACTTTATATATAAATTTCTGCTGGCTTTGTCAGTAAAAATAAGCTACATTGACTGAGTTTTGTTTTGGTGAAATTGAGGATAACAATATTTATATTGCCAGTGTTATAAAAAGAATTGTTTTTGTTTTTAATTCTGCTTATTTTGAGCTTATGAAACCTGAATTTACTGGCATAACTCACAAACAACAACCCCCAAGGGTCCAAGCACAGACCCCAGAAGAAACGCTTCATTAAACAAAAACACTACCCAAAGGCCACACAGCAGTTACACTAACCAATGCAAACTTCATAATTGTTTAAGTTATTGCTAAAATGTGCAACAAAAAATAGAAAACAATAACAACAACAACAAAAAAAGATTTTGATACATTTTTAAAAAGGTTATTTTGCAGCAAACCTCACTAGTATTGGTGGTGACTCCTATTATTTTGGGCTGTAATAGCAAAAGTTGAGTCTCATGTTCCTCTTCAGCTCTTGTAAAGAATATTTATTAAAATGTAATTAAATGACTGTCATGCTATAGAGCAGGGGTCCACAATCGGTGGCTCCAGAGCTACATGTGGCTCTTGAGATTCTGAAGAGCTTCTTGATCACATTTCTGTGAAAAATTTATACATCCTTATAGACTCAGATTTCAGTTTTTAATAATCTGAAGTCTTTGTTTACTTCATCACTTATTAATAAAGTCATTTACAAAAAAAAAAAAAAATCCCTACAGAGGTCAGCTGTTTAGTTCAAGTTCACCAGTGTGCAATTTAGTCATGGGATAAATCCAGCTGTTCTGTGATGATTAGTACAGAGAACATTAGCAAACAAACAGACCAAGAAACACAGCAGACAGACCAGGGATAAAGTTTGAGAGAATTTTAAGCAAGGTTAGGATATAAAACAATACTAACATCTTAAGAAATCTTGCAACACTTTACTCAGCAGTATACAAAGAATATTTTGCTCAGTAGGGACAGAGAAACTGGTCAGAGTAGATGAAAATCGAATGTGTTACATGTAGGGAAATCCAGATAGAACCCCTGCGACAGATCTGCTAATTATGAGTTAACTAACTGATTAGGGTGCAACATTATATGACTCCAATATTTCATGTTTTCCCAATATTCAAATTTTCTTAGACACTGAATTATTTTCGGCTTAAATAACATAAATGTACAAGATAATTATAAAAAATACTTAAGTAATAAATCTTAATTAGTCTCACTTTCTGCAGTAACGTTATCCGTCCGTCCGTCCGTCCTCCCACCCACCCCCCATCCATCCATCCATCCATCCATCCATCCATCCATCCATCCATCCATCCATCCATCCATCATCCATCCATCCATCCATCCATCCATCCATCCATCCATCCATCCATCCATCCATCCATCCATCCATCCATCCATCCATCCATCCATCCATCCATCCATCCATCCATCCATCCATCCATCCATCCATCTATCTATCTATCTATCTATCTATCTATCTATCTATCTATCTATCTATCTATCTATCTATCTATCTATCTATCTATCTATCTATCTATCAAAAGATAAGAAAAATTTTCTCTTCTCTTATGTTTTAACTAGAAACTTGATCTAAATGTACATTTGATTGCCTCTAAATCGAGCAGTACATTCACTTGTAGGTTTGTTGTGAAGCAGGAAAACACGACCAGCAAAGTGCGGGAAAATGAACAGCGTCGTCCCACTCCTGTGCAGTAGATGGCGGCACACGCATCTCTAACGCTGGCTCCTCTCCACCAATCCCACGAGATGTAGCGTGTGGGCAAGGCCTTCTTTGCTGTTTTGCTTTCGTCTCCTCCACGCTGGCCAATCAGAGCGGGCTGAGGCGAGACACCGCCAAGATCAGATTGTGAGAGGCGCTGCTGTGAG